TCTAACCCTAAGTGGCCTATCTATCATATGAAATTAGTTTGTCAAGAATCGGTCCGCCCCTAACCCTGCCCACATCACCTTGTAACCCTAACCCCTACCCCTACCCCTACCCCTACGCAAAAAAAAAAAATGAATGGGGGTCCAACCCAGAATCGGACTGGGGACCTCTGTCATACAGTTTCTGCGTTTTCAGCCACGTCCAAACCCTAAGACAGCATAATAAGCCACTATACGATTGGACCCGACCGTGTCGGGATTGCCGAAATTTGCGTATCTGAAGCAGTTTGCCTTTGTGCCTAGTCCCACTGCAGTGCAACGTTTGCGTTTCTCGATGATCGCTTCTGCCGGCTGCAACGGCAAGAGCGCCTGAGCGAATGTCGTCCTTGGTCCATCGTCTATCGCCGCCGTCTGCGCTCTGCGTGTTGTGTCTATCATACACTCGCCCCTTGCCCCGCCGCGTCACCGAGCAAAGTCCCAGATCTGCACCCGTTCGTCGCGCGCCGACGTTGTCTGGTCGCGGGTTTCGCCGCTGCTGGTGGATGGCACGGTCGACATGACCGAGACAATCTTGTCGAACGCGGTCGAAACCCAGCGTATGGCCGTCTGCGGCGTCGTGGCCGACGACGTGCGCTGGGCCTCGGCGAGGATCTGGCCAAGCGAGGCGGCGGCGGTGGCTGGCCCGGTCGAGGTGTGGCTTGGTGCGAAGCGGTGCGGCGATGGTGGAGACGCGGGCGCGTCGCCGGATCCGCCTCTGTCGATCGGCTGCTCGCCCGCGATCCCATCCTCCTCCTCTTGCGCTTCGTCGTCGCCCTCGAATATGGGCTGGAGCGTGGCTGCCGACGGGTGCGCCCGCAGCGTGACAATGTGGCGCATGGCCACGACGTCGGCGCCGTTGTCTGTGCCGTCGCGTTGGCTGCCGCTCTCGTCTGTGCGTGCGCTGCGGTCCCTCGATGCCGTCCTTTCAGACCCGGCCTGGACCGAGGAGCGCGCCTGCTGCCGTACCCGGCGCCGATCGGAAGCGCCGCGCCGCGTCCGACGCAGCAAGACGCTGGCGATCGAGTCGGCGTCGTCGAAGCGCTCGCCGAGGCTCCATACCATGACGCTGCCGTCGGAGCTGCCGCTGACGCAGCGGCCGTCCTCGAGGGCAACGCTGAGGACGCTTCCTGTGTGGCCGTGGAGCACGCTCCGGTGGATCAGAGCCAGGGTGCCGCGCGTCGACGTCGAGGTCGCCGTGGCTGGACGACGGGCTCGCGGCAGAGGAGCGGCGCCACCGCCGTCGCCGTCGTCGTCGTCCAGGGCGTCTTCGCGGACGTGCGTCGTGGCGCCGACGAGCTCAAAAACTTCGAGCAGGTTGTCGGCGGCACCCAGGACGACAAACGGGTCGTCGTACGATATGCTGGTAAAGCGATTCGCCGCAGGGGCGGGACTGCGTGGGCGCAGCGCCGTCAGATCCGGTCCGCGGACGGGCCTGGAGCGAGCGTCGCTCCAGGGCAGGCGACGGTCGCGTAGCCCGTCGGGTGCGTGGACGCGGCGAAACATGTCGGTTCCTCGCGGATCGATGGGCGTCGAGGCGTAGGCGTGCTTTGCTGTGGCGTGCCGGCTCGTGATGCGGACGGCGGTCGACGCGGGCCCGCTCGCAGCGGCGGGCAAGAACAACACGACTTCCTGCACCCCGATGGTCCACGAGGCGGGGTATGCCGGGGTCGAATAGGCGATCGTGAGGCGAAAAGCTGGGCCACGGTCGTGGCCGGACCTTTCGTCTTCTGGCGCGTCGCCCTTCGAGCTGCTAGGCGCAGCTGGTGCGCGCCCGCGCTGTTGCTGCCTCGGGCGCTTTCGGGCGTCGTAGTACGGCAGCGGCTTGAGGCGCAGGCACGCCGGCCAGCAGGAGCGGTAGCTCGACATGTGCTGTACTAGCTCGGCAGACCAGCCTGCGCCGCCCGACGGTGCTTCGACGATGCGAAAGATGCCGATGCCGAAGTCCTCGGTGCAGGTGACGAGGACGGGAGAATGAAAGGCGGTTGCGACGATGCGGCAGCCCTTTCCCGGAGCGTCGGCCGTGCGGGGCGATCGAATGTGGGTGAGCTCCTCGTAGACCTCGAGCCGGAAGCTGCCGCGATGCGGACGGGCACACACACGGGCGACGGAAAAGTCGCCCGTCGAGTAGGCCATCAGCAGCCTCACACCGTGGGCCATCGCTGCCTCGCGGTCACCGGCCGAGTGCGCTTCGGTGCTGGCCTTGCGCTTCCCCTTCGCGGTCCCGGCAGCGGAGTCGACCATGTCTCGGCCCATGTCGCTGGCATCGAGACGCATCTCGACCAGCTCGACCTCGGCGATATCGACGCCACTCGCAGACCAGCGTTCGAGGAGGATCGACGGAGGCAGGAGCGTGGCAAGTGGGCGGTTCTGCGTTGGGTCGTGCGGCCGGCGATGAGCCGAAAGCGGCTCGCTCGTCTGTCGGGCGTCACCGAGCAGGCCATGTGCGAGAAAGACGTCGACGCCGAGGTGGTCCCTGGCGACGGTGCCCATGGTCGAGTGGGTGGGTCTCTCGCTCGCACGGCGGTTGGCGGTAAAGATGAGGTTGGGCGATGCCTCGACTAGCGTCGACGTGCTGGCAGCTGCGGCACTCGGGTGATTGTCGGGCGTGATTGCAGTCGCATGATGTTGCCGGGCGGCATCGGTGGCCACAGAGGATGGAGGAGCCAGACATGGCGGTGCCAGCGCTGACAAAGCGCCTGTATCTGTCCCGGCGAGGTGGTTGCAAGGAAGGTTTGCGCTGTGTGGGGGCACGTCGAGCTCAGTGACGCGGAAGCGGCCGGTGGACCAGTTGAGCGTGACCTGATAGAGGGCCTTCCAGTCGAGGCCGTCGTTGCGGAGGGTCTCGCGGTGGCTGCCGTTGATGAACGAGTCGGCCTGCTCCTGGGTCAGGGCGGGTGCGGTTCCGACCGTCGTCGTCGGCTGGGTGGTCCGGTCGGTGTGGAAGCGGGTGGGTAGCCTTCGGATGCGTCTGCCGTCGCTGTTCGAGCTGGGGTGGCGAGAGCTGAGGTGGCCGAGATGCTGACGTAAGAGGAGGGAGCGGAGGCCTGCGAGCGTGGGGGTTTTTGTTGCGGCGACAGGTGGGTGGCCATGGTCGCTGGGGTGAAGCGAGGGAAGGACAAAGTCGCGGTAGTAGAGGCGCTTCCACAGGAGCCCGTCTACGCCGAGCCGGAGAAAGGTCGAGTGGACCGACTGGAGGTGGGCGAGGTCCGAGGCGGGGAGGTAGGCGAGGATCCTGAGCCACACCTCGTCCGAGAGGGGCCGTTCCAGAGGTGCAAGCATGGCGAGCGTGAGGATGGTGCTGACAAGTGCGCTCTTCTAAGTGGCGAGTTACAAATGGAAAGATCACTCGACGAGGCCTGGACGACGACGACGATGGAGTATGGACGCGAGCGAGGCAGGCATGTCGGTGGCGGCTAGGAGGCGGAGACAGCGGTCGCTTCGCTGGCTAGGTCGCAGATGATGTTGGCGGTGAGAGCATGCTGGGCTTGGCTGCGCGGGATGGTAGAGTGAAGTGTTGGCTTCCAACGGCTCGAGTCGGTACGAAGCGAGGCAAGACGGGTGCGGGCCGGAGACGGAGCAGACTAGACGTTTTGACGAGTAGGTTGTGACACGATGAGAGCGGCGACGAGTGCCACGGTCGGCGCCGTTGGTCGTGCTGGTGATGATGACGGTGATGGTGGTGGTGGCGGCAGCAGAAGCGGCGGCGGCGGCGGCTCCGACAGGAAGACGACGGGACGCGCGGCCAAAGGTGGAGGCGGCCAGGCCATATCATCGGAAAAGAGCCCGCACCGGACGCCGTTGGCCGCGCGTGCGTGTGGCCGGGCTCCCAGGCCGCGGGCCGAGCCGAGCCAGCAGGCGGTCTACTGCTGCGTTCGGGATGTTCCGCTGCATCAGCCTGGGCTGGAGAGGTCGGGGAGCTGGCGAGCAACGAGGGACGAGGGGCGCACGGCGGCGTCCTGGCCTGCTTGTCCACCAGGGATGGGCCACGAAGACAGCAGCGAGGCAGCGCCAAGCCGGCTGCCAGCTTCGAGCGACAGGCAGGCGGCGGCAAGAAGAAAGAAGCAGGCAAGGCGAGGAAAGGCAAGCAAGCTAAGGCGTGCCAGGCGGTGATGTCAGCGTGCGACGGGGGCGCTCCATGCATCATCTCTGGATCGCGCGGCAGCCGCCGAAGAGGCTAGGCCGGTAGGCTAGCCTAGGAGGACCCTGAGCTGCATTTGCTCCCTTGAGCGCGAGTGGGCAACCAACCAACCAACCAACGTCGATGACCCCCGCCGCTCGCTCTGCCAGCTGGCAGCCGGCCCATATGGACGTCGATCCGCTTTGATTGTTCCCAGACTCGATCGAGTTGGTTGCTCGTTGTGCGTGCCCTTGCTTAGCTTCTTTGGCTGTCTTCCTGGCGTCGATCTATGTATGTGTGCGGGCCATGATGAGGCGCCCCACTTTGTTCACAATTATTGCGCCGCCCGATGCTGCAAGACCTAGTCGGCGGCCGCCGTACGTCGGCGTAGAAGCCTGCCCAGGCCCCGGCCCAGGCCCTGGCTCTGGCCTCTGGACTCGGCCCGGCCCGTCCGGTTGTCCAGTCTCACCCGCACAGCTGGCGTTCGGGCTGTGGGCAGAGCCGCCGCACGCTGGTCAACCGGTCAGGCAGGCAGAGCAAGGAGGAGGAGGGAGCTGCCAAGGCGGGGGGCCTTCGATGGCACCTCGCAAGCAAGCCTCATCGGACCGCGGGCCGTCGGCGGTGGGGAGCTTCGCCCAGGAGAGCGGCCGCCATCGATGCGGCTGGGCTGCACTTTAAACTTTTGGCTCGACGGCCGCCGCCTGGCCTATTGCCCCGTCGCCGCTCGTCTCTGTCCTGGCGAGGTGGATTTCGGATTCCGCTCAAGCAGAGAGATGGCCGTGGTGAAGCCGAAAGATCGAGGCAGGGTTGTCTTATCGCTCGGGCCAGGCCAGGCCCCTGCAACGCGAGTGTGTGTGGGTGGGGGGGCCACACATACTCAACCACCGCCTGGCTCTGCTTTGGCCTTGGTCGACTGCTGCCAGCCTCGCAGCCAGGCGCGCCCGCCGTCTTTGATTTGCCTGGCCGACTCGCTATGATGCTTCCGGAGGTGAGCCTGCATCGGAGAGCCAAGTACGTTTTGCATCCTCCTCAGCTCCCAATCGCCGTCCCGACCACCATCATCTCCCTCTCCTCGTCCTCTACACTCCTTCCAAAAGGCATTCGCCATCAACTACGCCGGACGAGCTAGCGCCAGGCGACCAGAAGAGTGTCCCCCCGAGCAACGCCGCACCCCGTCAGGTCTCGCCGAGGTCAACCGCTGCGTCGCTCCATCCTCCCAATCCTCGGCCCGGTCTCGACCTGGATCGCAGCGCAGTCCAGCATCACAATCGCGCGCATCACCACCCCTTTGTGGCCGGCACACCGCGCACACACGCCCGCTCCTCTTGCGCCTGCGACGACCGCGCACGCTCGAGCGGACGGGCCTCCGGAGCGAGCAACCCGGCAGCTCCGCCTGGCCACTTCTGACCTGCCACCGGACCAGTCAAAAGGCGGGTCGACTGCCCATCTTCCGCTCGGTACGGCCCAGCGCGGCTCGAGGTTCCTCTGACAGCTACCAAGACCACCTCCTGGGACGCCTCTGCCAGCTCCTCACACCACCACCACCTTTGGACGCCGTTGCCCTGGTCTGAGCAGGGCACCGTCACCTGGCTGATCCCTCGCCATGGCTTCCAGATCCGAGAGCCCGCAGTCGATCGACGACGACGGCGTGCCCCAGATGTCGCCCCTCTCCACCACCCTCGGCGACGACAACGGAAACGACGGCGCACGGCATAGCAGCGACCGCCAAGACCACGCCTCGCAGCGGCCAGCAGCCGAGCCAGCAGACCGGGGCCACAGCGGCGCCGACGCAGGCGCGGGGCCCATCCAGCAGCAGGCCCCCACACTCTCGTCTTCACCCAAGGCCACCGACACCACCGACACTACCACCACCGCCACTGCCACCGCCACGGCGACAACATCAGCCACCTCGACCTCAAACTCGGCTGCATCGCCTTCGCACCCCAAGTGCTGCAGCCGCAACCACTCGCATTCGCACCCTCACTCGCGCAACAGCCACAGCCATTGCGACCAGACACGGTCCAGCTCCCTCGGCCATTCCCATTCCCGCTCGCACGCTTCCCGCGCGGCCAGCAACGACGGCGCCGACGGGGCGCGGGCGTCGGGCTCGACGGCGCCTCACTCACGCACCACGTCGCGCAACACGTCCCACGACTTCAAGGAGACGCTCAACGCCCGCTCCAGGGACATGGACGACGGCTCCCGGATCATCAACCAGTACCGCATGACCGAAGTCATTGGCCAGGGCTCCTACGGCACCGTCCACCGCGCCACGCTCGCCGACGACCCCAGCGTCACGTTTGCCATCAAGGAGTTCGGCAAGACCCGCCTTCGCAAGAGCCACCGCGCGTCCAACATGAAGCGCTCCGCCCGCGGCAAGCCAGGCGCGCGCGGCAGCTCGAGGCCCCGCGGAGGCTTTGTCGCCGCCCACGACTCGTACCAGAACGAGCGGCAGCAGCAGCAGGATGGAGGTGATGGCAACGGCAATGGCGGCGGCGGCGGCGGCGGCGGCGCTGGCAGCGACGACCTCAAGGATCCGCTCATGCTCATCCGCCACGAGATGGCCATCCTCAAGAAGCTGCACCATCCGCACGTCGTCAAGCTCTACGAGGTGCTCGACGACCCCAGCAAGGACAGCCTGTACATGGTGTTTGAGCACTGCCCCGACGGCGCCGTCATCGACATCCGGCTCCACCACCAGTCGGAGCCCCTCGACGAGCCGACGGCGCGCTCCTACTTTGTCCAGGTGATGCTGGGCATCGAGTACCTCCACTCCAACGACATTGTCCACCGCGACCTCAAGCCCGACAACATCCTCCTCTCGGACGGCGGCCGGACGTGCAAGATTGTCGACTTTGGCGTGTCGGAGATGTTTCTCAAGCCGGGCGACGACAAGATGCAGAAGTCGGCGGGCAGCCCGGCCTTCATGAGCCCGGAGCTCTGCACCGCCGGCCACAGCTGGTACCACGGCCGCTCCGACGACATCTGGTCGTTTGGCGTCACCGTCTACTGCATGGTAGTGGGCCGCCTGCCGTTTGACAAGGACAATTTTTTCGAGATGTACGAGGCCATCAAGGCCGAGGAGCCCGAGTACCCCTCGCACCTCTCGCCCGAGCTCAAGGACCTGCTGCAGAAGCTGCTGCGAAAGGACCCCGAGAAGCGCATCACGATCGACGAGATGCGCCGCCACCCGTGGGTGACTTGCAACGGCACCGCCTCGATCATCTCGTCCGAGGAGAACCTCGAGCAGGTCGTCTTTGAGATCACCGAAGAGGAGCTCGACTGCGCCATCTGCAAGATCACCAACATCTTCACCTTTGCCCGCGCCATTTCCAAGTTCAAAAAGGGCGGCTCGATGAACCGCGCACGGCGCGAGGCCTCGCAGGCCCTCTCCGATGCCGAGGCCAAGAAGCAGAGCGGCGACGACGGCCAGGGCGCGGCGATCGAGGGGCAGGGCGACGGCAACGGCGAGCGCAAGGCCGGGAGAGCCGGCGCCGACGCCGCCGCCGCTGGCGAGCGCGACAGCCTGCAGGTCAAGGTCGATGCGTTGCGCAACGAGATCGAGCACCCAGAGCAGCAGCAGGAGGTGCTGCTGGTCGACTCGCCCACGTCGGACACGATCGAGCTGCCGCCCCTCGACGAGCTCGACGATGGCGATGCCGCCGGCGCAGGCGCAGGCGACGACGACGACGACACAAAGTTGCGGCCAGGACCAGACGCCCTGCGGCGCACCAAGACGGATCCGGCCGGCGAGGCGGCGGCCGTGGTGCTGAGCAGGTCGCCCGACCTCTGCGACTCACCGACCTCTTGCGCATCAACGCCGGCCGACGCCCAGGTGGGCGAAAAGGATGGCTCGGCCGAGGCGACGGGGTCGCACAGCGAGGACCTGGCGCGTCGGCTGGCCGACGTCGTGATGCGCGAGGGGGGTGCGGACAACGCGTGGAAGAGCAAGGAAGCCATGAGCGAGAAGAAGAAGCGCGTCTCGATCCTCATGTCGGCGACGACGGGCGAGCTGCACACGTCACGCGACCACCTGGCGCGCGAGTACGTCCAGCAGGGCGGCAGCCAAAGCGGCGGCAGCGGCAGTTCGGCCGGATCGCAAGGGGACCGGCCGGCGCGGAAGCCGACGCCGCACCGTGCGCCGCCAAAGGTGCTGGTGGACGAGGAGACGGTGTCGAGTCCGCGATCGGAAAACATCCCGACTCCGCCCGGGGCGAGCGAGGCGTACGTCGCGGCGGCGAGGGACGAGGATCTCGCGCGTGATCCGCTCGAGCTCGATGCGCAGCGGCAGGTGGCGGCGGCTGGTGGCGAGGCAGGTGGGCAGACGAAGGCGGTTCGGGAGGGGGACAATCATGCTGTCGCGGCTGATGGTGATGGTGGTGGTGGTGGTGCTGATGGACCAAAGAGGCAGGCGGAGGTGCATGGATCTGGCTAGAGGATCGCGATGCCACGGCCGGGCGAGAAGCGAAGGGCCTTGGCGGGTCGTCTTCGTGAACCGCGCCCCCACCCCCCGGCAGGCACGCCGAGCCGGGCTAGCCCGCCGGCTGGCTAGACAGGCTCAAGTCAGGTAGCAGAGTTCAACACATGCCTCGATCGCGAGCGAGCTTGATCTCGTGTCTCGCAGAGGATTGCCTGATGATCGATGCGCTGCGAGAACGAGAGGGGATTGTGACGCCGGTGCAAGCGGGATAGAGCGTACAAATACAGGGAAAAAAAAAAAAATGGAGAGAAAAAGGCCGGACGCGTAAATCCCCGCCGCCGATTGTCGTGGAGGTGGGGACGGATGTCTCTTCTCCCCGGCCCACCGCATGACCCACTGGACCGCCAAAGACGCTCTGGTCCGCCAACGGATCCGGATGAGGGGGAGAGGGAGGAAGGGGTTTCTTTCAGCGCCGAACGAGTCCCAACGACGCGGCGGCACCGGCGCTCGAGACGGGCGGAGCTTTACCGCGCACGCCGAGATAGGCCAGCCCGCCAAAGGGTATCGTCGGATCGTACGTCGTCGCCGTCGTCGTCGTCGTCGTCGTCGTGGCACCGACTGCGTTGCCGTGCGGACCTGGACCGTCGTGCAGAGGAACCGCAGTGACAGCCCCCGCAGCAGAAGGGAGGGAGGACGAGGAGGAAGAGGAAGGCGCCTGGTTGAGTTTCTGCCTGAGCATTTCGCGTTCCGACGACTTCCAGGCTGCTCGGATCTTGGCGGCGCTCGCGACGAGCTGGTGCGCGATCGTGGTCGAGGTGGACATGGTTTGGAGAGGGACCGGTCGTGATGGGTCGCGGGAACAGGAGAGGATGGAATGGCAAAAGAGACGAGACGTCAGTCGGCATTCCTTGATCGCCTGATTGATTCGTGGTCGATGGCCGTCGGCAGCACGATGGCGGCGCGGCTGACCCACCTCATCGGCATCGACGCCGTCGCGGATGCTCTTGAGGATCTTGTGGACAATCGAGTGGTGGTTGCCGTGGTGCTTGTCGTCGCGGATGCGCATCATGCGCCAGCGCGGCGGCAGCTGCAGGCCGCGCTCGCGGTACATGTCGGTGGCGGGCGTCGGGTCCGTCTCCCAGACGCACTCGACGATGCGGTCGTCAAACTGCTCGCCGCTCTCGACCATGGCCTCCCACTCGGCGGGCTCGACCCACAGCTCGTCGAAAAAGTCGTAGTCGCCCCCCGGGCCGCCGCGCCCGTCGCTGCCGAGGTACTGGTGCAGCTCGAAAAAGGGCAGGCTGGTGAGGTCCGGCAGGTTGCCGCGCGGATCGCGGGCCAGGTCTGGCGGGAAGCGCAGCACCAGCTTAAAGTCGATCGAGTTTTCCGACGGCGGCTTCCACTTGAGGCTGTTGCCGTCAAGGCGGGTCGACGGCATCAGGCAGCGGCGGCGATAAAGGTTCAGCTAGGCGCTCGATGACGGTATCGTGTTGGGCTGCTCGCCGTCAACGGAAGGACAGCGGACAATCTCTGCCCTCGTGCCCCGCACACTCACATCTTGGGGTCGGTGCCCATGACGTATCCGCTGTTGAGGCAGGTAAAGATGAGGCCGTCGTTGCCGTGCTTAAGGTTGGGTACGACGTCGTACCAGACCGTCTGGATGCCGTAGCTGAGGTCCATCTTCTTGACCTGCACCTCGAACGGCTGGCGCGCGGCGAGGTGCGGGTTCTTTTGGAGGAACTTGGCATACGGCGGGTGGATGAAGGTGTTGAGGCGGCCGTACCGCTTGCTGAGGGGGCGCTCCGCCAGCAGCTCGCGGTCGATGACGATGAGGTCGAAGAGGAGCAAGACGAGCTTCCTGCGGCCGTCGGGATACGTGTCAATGACCAGCTCGCCGTCCATGAGCGTGTGGTTGCGCATGCCGCGAGCCTTTGCCACCTCGGGCAGGTTGGGCATATGGTGGGGGAAGACGAGACCTTCGACCTGGTAGTAGTCGTTCTTGCGGTCGATCTGCGGGGATCATGGTGGACAGGATGGAGCGGAAGCAGGGGGAGCAGCGAGCGCAGAGCGGCGAGTGCGGAGTCAGCCAGGCGGTGCGGACGCATGACCGGCCGCCGAACATCGCACGGCACCCACCAAAAAGACCTCCTGGACATTGGTGCCAGAGGGGATGACGATGAGGATGAGGACCCTGACTCCGTCCGACTTTTCGCATACCCAGTAGTCTTCCTTTGTGAGGAGGTCGATCGAGTCCTTGTCAAACGAGACGGGCTGTGCGCCGGGGAAGCGCGAGTGGCTGAGGCGGCAGAGGTTGCGGACGTGGTCGCGCAGGAAGTCGAGCTGGAGCGGGTTGTCGACCTTGCGGCCCGGAATCTCTGGCACCGTCGCCGTGTGACCCGGTGGTGCCATGATGGCAAGCCGAGGGGGGCCAGCGGGCTGCCGTTCCGGGGTTTGGATCTGGAGAGCTGCAAGAGGCCGGTAGGGGTTGAGAGGGGAGACAGAGTGGATGGCCGCCTGGGTGTGAGCAGGCGGAGGTGAAAGTAGCGGAGCGTAAAGGAGTGTTGATGAGGGCGGACGGAGCGGTATGGGCGAGTTGCCGACTGCGGCAGTTAAGGAGCGAAAGCAAGCGACGAGGATGGAGAGGCAGACGAGGTGGTGGTGGCAGGCAAAGGGTCTTCCCGAGTGGAGCTGGGGCCGGTTGGCCTGCTGGAGCCAGCGGGCGCATTTTGGGCGGGTGCTCGCCAGCCGAGTTCCGAGTCTGGCTGAGAAGGCCTGCCTGCCTGGCCGCGCTTCACCAACCAACCTCGCCCTCGCCCTTGCTCCCGCCCCCGCCGTCGTCATCTCTCGCACATCGAGACGCCCCGACTCGACAAGTGATTCGACCTACCTGTGCTGCCAAGACATGATACCGCACACGCCCGTCCCGTCGCACTCGCACACGTGCACACGCGCACACGCTTTCGCGCACGGTGACGGCGCGGGTCAGGCTGGGTTTCTATGCAGAGTGTCGTTTGCATCGGGGTCAGAGGTGGGAGCAAAAACAAGATGAGCCCAGGCCAGGCGGACCGTTCCTCGCGCTACGACGACTGAGTCGGCGCAGGTGCCGCTGCGCCCTCGCCCTCGCCCTCGTCCATCTTTGCGTCGCCCTCGGCGTCCTCCTCGTACCCCTCGACCTTGATGTCGTTGAGGCCGAGGTCCTCGTTCTGGTCAAAACTCCGCTCGTAGACCTCGACGGTGAGCTGCTCGTCGACGTCGGGCGCGTACGGGTTCTGGATGTAGCTGTTGGCCAGCGGGTCGTCGAGGACGACGGTGTAGGGCACGTTGGTGGCGCTGATGGCGCCCTTGAGCTTGCCCAGGAAGCCCTCAAACGTCGTGGCCTCGCGCGCCGAGTCGCCGCGCATCAGCACGCGCTCCGACAGCTCGTCGTAGACCTGCTGCAGCAAGCCCTCGAGCGTCGTGAAGCGGCCGCCCAGCGTGCCCGGCGAGAGGTGCAGGTCGATTTCCGGAATCGAGAAGCCGGCCGTCTCGGACTTGAGCACGTCGCGCGACAGGTCCTCGGCGTCTTCGACGCGCAGCGTCAGCTTCCGCCCCTTTTCCGAGATGGCGGCGCCCGACTTGACCTCGTTGTCCTTGTAGCCGCAGCTGTCGCAGTTGGTCGACATGATGAGGATGTCCTTGAAGTACGGGATGTTGACCTTCTTCATGCGCGTCTCGAGGAATGCGTTGCAGCTCGAGCAGGTGCCCTCGAACGTGTAGATCTCCTCGTTGTCGAACTCGGTCTCGCCGTCGTCCTTGCTGAAGCCGCCGCCGCCGCCGCCGCCCTGGCCGTCGTCGTGTGCGTTTGCCGACGGCGCACCGGCTGCGGGGCCGGCGAGGCCGAGGAGCTCGTTTTGCTCCTTGGACCTCGGGTAGTCGCGCTTGCTCCACTTTGCGTCCGACATGCCGCGCCCCTCGACTGCGCCGAGGAACTCGACGAAGCTGTTGCCCGAGGGGTCGTCGAGGCGGATGCTAAAGGCGGGCACGGTGCGGTTGGCCATCTGCTCTGAGGTGAGGGTGCTGTTGTCGCTGGTGCTGCCGCCGCCGACGGGGCCGTGGCTGCGCAGGCCAGATGACGGTGCGTCGCTGCTGCCGTCGGCGTCACCGCCGCCGCCCGAGACGAGGTCCTGCTTCTCCTCGCCGAGGATGTTGCGCAGCTTGTCGCAGAGCTCCTCGATCTTTTGGTAGGCGTCCGGGGCGGTGTGCTTGCGGACGGGCTGGTCGAGCTCGAGGTCGCGGAGGGTGTCGGAGAGGATGCCCTCTACGGTGGTGAGCTGACCCTTTTTGGGCGGGATCTCGATCTGGAGCTCGGGAATGATGACGGTGCACCACTCGGACTTGACGACCTGGCGGTTGAGGTCGGCGGGGTTGGTGATGTGGACGGTGTAGAGGCAGCCCTTTTCCTGGATCTGGCCTGCGGACTGGATCTCGTTGTTTCTGTTTCCGCAGTGGTCGCAGTGGAAGCTGACGACGATGACCTCGCGGAAGTAGGGGATGTAGGTGAGGAGCATGCGGGTCATGCCCTCTTGGTGGCAGTCCATGCAGAGCGAGGGGATCTCTTCGACCATCTTTTGCTGGTCTGCGTCTGCGTCGGACGAGGTGCCAGCGGGTGCGTCGCCCTGTGCGGGGTCGACATGCTGTCCGATGGGCTTGAAGAAGTCGTCGCCGCCGGTGGGCTTGGTCGTCTGGGCGGGGGTGTCGGACGACATGGCGGTGGTGGCGGGGGTGAGGGTGGAGACGGTGGGTTGCGGTTGCTGCTCTTGGATGCCGATGCGCTTGTTGCTGCTGTGGTCTGTTGGGTGGTCCGATGTGCGCTTCATGGGCGTGTGGGGTGGCGATGTCGGCGGTGGTGGGGAGGGTGGTAGCGATGTGATGGTGGTGGCGGTGGGGTCCGGCCAGCCTGTCAAGCGGGGATACGGGTAGCCTGTGGGCGGTGGCAAACGTTTGCGGGTTGGCGGCTGGCGGCTGGCGGCTGCTGCTGCTGGGTTGCGTGTGGAGTTTTTTTTCTTGGTTCTTCTCAAGACGGGTGGTTGGCCTTCGAGGGGCTGCTCGGTCCTTCTTTGCCTGTGCGCCGGGGCCATGCTGCCAGGGTGATCACAGCCGGTCTCAATCAATCCGCCCCCTCAATCGAGCGCACCATGCATACGCACGACATGCGCCTGCCGGCGTGCGCGGCCGCGGCTGGCGGGTGTCCGTGCGCGTGCTTCCGACCAGCAACGGGAGCAAGCAGGCCAGAGGAGAGGTGGGCGGGCCAAGGTGGCCCCTCCGCCTTCCAAAATTTTTTCCCTCTGCTGCAGAGTCTTTTTTTCTCTCTTTCGCGTCTGGCCAGCGTCGCGCCCCTGCCTTAGCCTGCCTAGGCCTGCCTCTGCTCAATCGCCTGGGCGCCTCTGTCTGTCTTCCTGGCTGCCCGGCTGTCCGCCGTCGTCGTCGTTGGCCGCGGCGCCGCCTGCGCCCTCCGCTTTTTTGCCCTCGCGGGTGACGTTGGAAGAGGTTCCATCCGCCCAGCCCATCCAGCCTTGCTAGCCTCAGGCCACTCGACCTCGCTCCATCTATCCTTCTCGCCACCATCACTACCTGCTTGACCGCCTCTCCAACCCTATCAGCTTATCCCCGCCTCGTTGCTACAAATCACTGCCATAATGTCTGAAGCAAAGTACATCCAGCCCGCGCCCAGCTCGTTCGACGACGCTCACAGTGAGTCGCCCGTCTCGCCCTCCGTCTAGCTGGCTGGCCACCTTGCGCTGCTGTCCTGTTCAGCACGGCTCCCTGACGACGGCTGCGCCACTGTGACCGCCTGCTCACGCGCTGCTCCTTCCGCCCCCCGTTCTCGCCCTCGCCCGCCTGCAGAGCCCAAGGTCGAGCAGCTCATCCTCGACTTCCGCAAGGCCGATGTCGAGCTCGGTGAGTGGTGCCCAGGCTTCGCCTTCCTCTGCCCAGCCTCTGCACTGCTCGCTGACACGCTGCGCTTTGCCTCGCAACCTCGACGGTTCGCCCGCTCGCCCTCGCGATTCGGCACAACAGTCAAGCAGGAGCTCAAGATCCAGGCGCCCCTCTTTGAGAAGCGTGCCGAGATTGTCGCCGATGTCGAGAACTTCTGGTTCCAGTCGGTGAGTGGTGTGATGCTTGCCTCGACGGCGCTGTCGTGTTGCTCCGACCAGCGGTGGCTGACGGCCGAGCACCTCCTACGTCTCCACGCCCTCGTTTCCTCTCTGTCCTCTTCCGGACTCCACGCCCTCTGTTCCTCTCTGCCCTCTTCTGGACTCCCCGCAGATGGTCAACTGCATGGCCATGAACGTCTACATCGACGACGCCGACCACGAGGCGCTCAGCTACCTCTCTGGCGTCCGCGTCGAGCGCGACCTCGACGACCCGCGCGCCGCCACGATTGTGTTTTCCTTCCGCGAGAACCCCTTCTTTTCCGACGCCGAGCTCGTCAAGAAGTTCCCCCTGGCCGAGGGCGCAAAGACGCTCGAGGAGCAGTTCAACTTTGTCGAGGAGACGGTGCCGCAGAAGACCGAGATCAACTGGAAGAGCGACGACAAGAACCTCTGCAAGCTCAAGCCCACCGTCGGCGGCCGTGACTCGGACGACTTTGAGCCCGGCTCGTTCTTCTCGACCTTTTTTGCCAACACCGACACCGAGGTTGCTGTGAGTGGGATGCGGCGGGGCAGGAATGACTGGCGAGGACTGCCGGGCAAATGGCCAGAGGATTGCCTGGCATGGCGCACGAGGATGACCGGAGCAGTGAACGAGGATGGCCAAGCGAACGGTGAACGAGGGCGGCCGGCCGGGGGAAATGGTGACCGAGGACAGCCTCGGTCGAGGCAGACTGGTCCTGTTCAAGATGCTGGGCACAGTGAACGCTAACACGCCCGCCTCTCTCCCTCCCTCCCTCTCTCTCCCTCTGGCCCGCCCCGCCCGTTCCGCCCTCATCCGAAATCCGACCCCGACGACGATCTTGCGCCGCCTGCGATGCCACGCACTTCTGTGCAGGGAGGAATTGGCCACACGATCATGGTCGACTGGTTCCCCAACGCACTCGACTTCTACCTCGGCGAGGACACGTTTGACGACGAGGACTTTGACTCGTGAGTGGTAGGCGGCGGTGGCGGTACCTTTGTCGCAGCGAAGCGGTGCTGACAACCCCCTGTGCACTGTTTCTTCCCCCTTCCCTTTGATTGACGCAGCGAGGAGGACGAGGAGGATGAGGACGACGAGGATGCCGAGATTGACCTCGAGGCTGAGGAGGAGCGACCCAAGAAGAAGACCAAGGCCAACTGAGGGCTAGAGGACCGCTCCGCCTGCCCCACCTTATCGTTGCTTGCTCGTCTCGTCTTTTGAGCTGACTGGAATGCGACACGCCTAGATGCGCCCCTCTATTCCTGCTATCCCTCTGTCCTTGTGGCGTCCACCAGGCCTGGGCGTGTTGGACCCCAGCCGTAACCCGCGTCTTTGGGGGTTTGGGGCGTACCTTGGCCCTGTCTCGTCTATACACTTTGTTGCCCGCTCCGTCCCACTCGAAAAGCATACCTCGGTGCCCTTCCTTGCCTGCCCACTCGTCTTGTCTGCGCGTCTTTTGAAGATGTGATGTCGCCCGACCAGAGTGGCGAGAAAGCTGAGTCGCCGCAAGGGAGGGAGGCCAAGGGCTGCGCCGTCGATCCGTCCCCCGCCCCCCGCCCCCCGCCCCTCTCTACCCTGCCTGCGTTTAAACCCGCCATCCGTCGCGGTTTTGCCGTGCGTCGCTTGCTTGATCTTCTGATCTGCCGGTGTGAAACACGCCCCGCCCCCGCCCCGAGAGCGGAAGAGCTGAGCGAGACCCGCCGTACGCCTCTTTTTTGTTTACCACTTTGTCTGGCGAGGACCGCGCGCGCCTCGATACATATGGGCAGGATCGAAGCGGTCGGAGATGGAATAAATACGGAAGGGGAGCGTGGACATAGGAAGCAAGAGGATGTGGCCGTGCTGGTGCGGAGCGTGCGGGGGCAAGGAAAGGAAGTCGCGAGCGGCACCCTTGCTCTTTACGCCAGGCGATACGCCTCGTCTGGTCTGCCTGGGTTGGGCTGGGCACGGCATGGCTGGGCGAGGCAGGATGAAGCAAGTCGGAGCCGATGCATCTCTCTCTCTCTCTCGCTCCCTCGCTCGCCGCTGCTGCTGCAAGAAGCTAGGCCAAGATGGCATGATCAGGGCGCAGGCCGGGGCAGGCGGGGCTGTGCATCAGATCTCGCGCTGCGCTGCAACATACAGATAGAGTACGGGCGGCTGACGACGACGACGACGGCGGAGAGCGCAGCGGCGGCTAAGCTAGGTGTGACTGCAGCCTCTGTACATAGCGTAGTCGGAGTGGCAAAGTGGTGCTGCCTAAGCGAAGCAGGCTGCGCCTGGTGCCTGGCTGCCGGGCAGACGGTCCTTGCTGGCGCAGCCTGGCCAACCAGCCAACCGAACGGATCCACCCGCGGGGACGGGCAGGGCAGGGGAGGGCAGGGCAGGGCAGGGCAGGGCAGGGCAGGGCAGGGCAGGGCAGGGCAGGGCAGGGCAGGGCAGGGCAGGACCGGGCCTCTGGATCTGCCTTTTCGACAGCTCTGGCCTTTGCTGTTTGTCACGAGCAGCAAGCAAGCAAGCAGGAGAGAGGCAGGGAGAAAGAGCAAAGCCAAACACGTTAGCCTTGGTCACAGAGACGACCAAGGCAGGCCAAGAGGCTCGGCGGGCGCGCCGTACCGTACCGGCAGGCGAGATGGGCATCGACGACTACTGGGCGTGCCCGCCGCCGCCTGGCCCGCTGGGCGGTGCCTGCGTCGATGCGCCGTGGCCGTCCAGTCCCATCTGGAATTAATCTGTACCCCGCCCTCAGCTTGGGCGCCGCCGCCGCCATCCGTCGTCGTTCGCTGACATCGGCCCATGGTGCCGCCCGCCCTCGTCTTAGGCTTGTCCTCTTCCCCACTAGCTGTAGCCTGGCCTGCCTCTCCGCTGTGAAAGCACGCTTTCTCGGCAGCAGCATGGCATCCTGCCTTGGCCTAGATAGGCTGCACCTCACCGTAGTGCTCACCTGCTGCCTGCCTCAGCAGAGCCCTGCCTCGAATCGGATACGCTAGACGTCCTGCCACCCGCAGTTGGCTATAGATACCTACATCGACGGCTCAAGGCCATCCCCGCGCGCGCACCCTTAGCACTTCTTCCCCGTTCCAGCAGCTGTTCCCTACCTGCGCACTCCTCCCTGCCACCACCAGGCCGACCTCGAGATATACCCACCACTGCCCACTGCGCCAACCGCAGTACTTACCTATACCCGGCACAACACCCTCGCTCGTTTGGCTCCCTCGGCGCCATTCCTAGGTGCAAAGCTCGAGACCATCACGCTGCCGCAACACGGACCCAGTCCCCCTGACTCGTCACCCCTCATTGTCACCTCGCTCGCTCGCCCTTTGTCCGCCCGCGCCGCTAGCCGCCGCCGACCCTCGACCCTTTCACCGGTAGAACGGCGCCTCGCTGCCTCATCTCGCCGCGATCACAGCCACCACCTCGACCTGACCCACATCCAGACGACACCAGCGCGCAGCACCAAACATGATCAGCGACACCAGCCCCGCCACCGAGCTGCCCGACCGCCCACCGCGCGCACCCTCGCGCAACAGCCAAAGGCCCATGGCGGCCGGCAGCGGCGACCGAAGCAGCCCCTCTGACCTCTCCCTCGCCACCGCCGCCACCGCCACCGCCACCACCACCTCGCCGTCGCCGGCCTCGTCGTCGTCGTCGCCGCCGCCGCCCCTCCTGCCCGGCATGCGCGTTCCAACCATCCAGCGCCCCTCGCCCACCTCGCCCTTTTCCGACTGGGAGGCCTACATTGTCAGCCAGACGCAAAACTGGGACGAGCACCGCCTCAAGATGCAGAAGGCTGCCACAAACGGAAGGGTCATGTGGGCAGACCAGGTCCAGCCCGCCGCACCCGCGTCGACCTTGCCCGGCTACCTAAAGGCCCGCGACCTCAACGACTCGTCGACATCCTCCGCCGCAAAGGCGCCCGAGCTTAGAGGTCGCAAGAGCTTCGATGCCGCCGCAAAGGCACCCGAACTTCGAGGCCGCAAGAGCTTCGATGCCGCCGCAAAGGCACCCGAACTTCGAGGCCGCAAGAGCTCCGACGCCACCGCCCTCGCCAGCCCTCGCTCCGCCGGATCCGCATCGCCCGCGTCGCCGCCTTCCGCTGCATCTACCGGCTCCCTCCGCGTCGCCAAGCTGCTCAGCCCAAAGCCCCGTCGCTCGTCCATGATCCTGCACGACGAGGCGCCATCCCCCACCGAAGCCACGCCCGCCAGCGCCTCTGCCTCGACGATGCCAGACGCCAAGTCGACCAGGAGCAGGCTCATCAACTACGGCCGCTCCAACCGCCGTGCCTCGATCCACTCACTCTCGAGCGTCGGCAACCAAAACGACGGCAGCAACGACATCGGCGCCGACCTCTCCCGCTCCAGCCACTTCCTCTCGCCCACCTCGGCCCTGCTGTCCGGGCTCGGTGCGCCCTTTGTCACCCACCAGGGCAAGCGCTCGAGCGCCTCGAGCGCCAGCGCCAACGGGTCAGAGGCGTTCGACGACGCGCGCAGGGCCTCGAGCAGCACGGGAAGCGCCGTCAGCGACGTCCGCGTCGCCGGCCACCCGCCACGGCCAGCCTTTCTCGAGCAGTACGGTCTCGAGCCCGACAGCGGCGAGAGCGACGAGGAGCACGACGAGGATGAGGACCAGGACCGGGACCGGGACGAGATTGCGGGCAGCGACGGCGACCCGGACACGGATGTAACCACGCCTAGGATGGAGGACGAAGACGACGTCGGCAGCAAGCTGCTGCCCACCCTCCTCGTCGGCGGCGCGGCAGCGGACCGGTCGTCCAGGTCGTCGTCGTCGTCCAAGCAGGCCAGAGCCGGCAGCCGCCCCGCGACGGGCACCGGCAGCGTGCGATCCTTTGATTCGTCGGCGCCCGTCTTTGCCAATCGCGACCCCTTTGCGATGGCGTCCAGCTCCTCGCTCTCGTCGAGACCGGGCAGCTTGATCGCATCGCCCGTCTCCCCGCTCGGCGTGTCGTCGTCGTCGACATCGCTCCATTCCAAGAAGAAGGGCTCGTCGATCTCGGGCAGGAGGCCGCGCGGCAGCTCGAGCGCAGGTAGCGCCACCACGTCGTCGATCCTGCGATCCATGCCCGTCGGCGAGTACACCCCACGCCGGTCGGACCGCACCGGCAGCGTCTCGTCGATGCGCTCGGTGGCTGCCAGCGCCACGTCGTCGGTCGTCAAAAAGTCGAGGAGGGGCTACACAATCGAGCCGCCGTCGGAACCCGTCCCTCCGCTTCCCGTCTCGGTGGGGGCGGAGGCGGTGGCGGCGGTCGATGCACCCGCCACGGCGCAGCCTCGAGACCGCCCGCATTCCAAGACTAAGGCCAAGGCCAAGAAGGCGGCGGCGGCGGTGTTTGCGCAGGATGACGACGACGACGAGGCAGTGGCGGCGGCGGTCGCGGTTGAGGGTGATGTCGCGGATCGGGAGAGCATCCTCTCGCACTCGTCGCGCTCCTCGAGCCTCAGCAAGGTCGAAGGTCAGATCCTGGCTGCACCGCCGCTCAACCTGCCCGCCGTCGTCGTCGAAGCCGATTCGGATGGCAAAGGCCTGGAAGAGCGGGACACCGGCGTGGCAAAGGCAGTGGCCTCTGCCAAGGCTGGGCTCGAGAAGCACCAGTCGATCGACGCCGGCGCCCGCAGCCGCAGCAGCAGCCGCGGCGCAAGAGCGCAGACAGAGGCCGAGGCCCAAGCGGAGTGGGACGACCTGCAGATTGAGCGATTCCTCCGCAGCGTGCGCGTCCACATGGACGCCGAGCAGGCCGTCGCGCTGCTGCAGAGGGGAGAGCTGCGCGACCTCCTTGACCCGACCGAGGCGGTGGCGGGCAACGACGCCTCGTCGTCGCTGCTGGAGCTCAAGGACAACGTCGAGCGGCTCTACGTCTCCGGCGCAGGCAGCCGCGGCGGCGACGGCGACGATGGCTGCGATTCCGCCTACGAGGCCATGCTGCGGCGGGTGTCGTCCGTGACGCAGTGGGAGGATCCGGTCGTGACGTCGGCGGCCGCATCGCTCTACGCCCTCTGCTGGTACCGCGGTCTGCTGCTGCCGCTCGTGTTTGCCTCGATGGCGGCGTTGCTCCTCGAGGCTCGCTTCGTCGACGTTCCCAAGGCGGCCGATCACCTCCGAGCGACGACGCGAGCGCAGCGCAAGAGGATAGACGTTGTCGATGCCATCGAACGCAGCCTCTTTTCGGCGTCGTTTGGCGGCGGCGGCGACGATGGGTCGGGAGCAGGGACCGACGACGACGACGCAGCAGCCGCAGCAGCTTGCTCGGATGCAGCGGCGGTGCTGGCCACGACGAGCGGGGCCGTGGCGACGCTGGCGGACCTGCAGGAGAAGGCGCGGCGCATCGCGACGTGGCACTCCTCGGCGCGGGGCAGCAGTTTGGCCCTCGTCGCCCTCCTGGCCGCCCTCGCGCTGGCCAGCTGCTCCCTCTCGCCGTGGGCCCTCACCCGGCTCGTGGGCGGGTGCATCGGCCTGCTCGTCTTTACGCCCGCACCGACCCGCGCACGGCTGTGGGATAGCCGGGCGTGTACGCGCCTCTGGGCCTGGTACGACCGTGTACCCACCGACCGGCAGCATGCGCGCAGCGTCCTCCGTCGCAGGGTGGCCGCGGCGGCGGCGGTTTCGTCGAGAACCGAGTGAGTGAGCAGCCTGGATGAGGGCGGAGGGCTTGCGTCGCGCACGCACACACACACACACGCACATACGTACATACACACGCTCGTTTTCCCCCCCGTCGTTCTTGTCTGGCCCTGGGCATGGCATGGCGATGGATTCGTTGCTATTGCCTGCTCGATCGATGGCCCGTCGAGGCCGCACTCTGCTGCATCGAGGACCCACGAGGGTCTGGTTTTGCAATCACACTCCCTTGCACCGTTTCCCCCCTCGTCGCTGCGTCTGGATCCCCGGGCCAGCTGCCGTGGCGACCCGCAAGCGCACTCGGTATGACTGTCGGCTCGGTGCGGTCCCTCGTGTTTGGCCGGCCAGAGCGACACGCCTAGAGCTCCTCTTGCCCAAACGGCGGATCGGGCAGCCTGCGGAAGGCCATGAAGAACTTGTCGCCCTTGTTCCTCTGTACCTTTTTACCCTCCTCGGTGGCAAACTTGACGGCATCGACGCACGGGTCGTGCTTGAGTTCGCGCTCCTCGTCGATGCGTTCAAAGAGGGGGAAGTCGTCGAGGTGGCGCACCATCCACACGTGCAGGTCGCGCACGTCGGTGATGGTGTAGACGATGCCGCCGGGCCGCAGCACGTAGGCGTACTCGGCGAGGAGCGTGGGCGAAATGATGCGCGCCTTGTGCTTGCGCGACTTGAAGTGCGGGTCCGGAAAGAGGAAAAAGAGCTTCGACAGCTGCCCCTTTGCGAAAAAGTTGGGCAGGAACTTCATCCCGTTGGCGCGAAGCACGCCCAGGTTCTGGTAGGACCCCGCCACCAGGTGCGCCGACGAGACGAGCGCCGCGTTTTGCGCCGCCTCCTCTTGCGTCTCGACGTCGTCGTCCGTCGTCGCTGTTGGTGCGGGTGGTGCTGGTGCCGGTGCCGGTGCCGAGCTTGTTGATGTGGCCTCGGCCGCGTCGGCAGCTCTGTTCTCATCGGCGGCGGCGGCGGCGGCAGTTTCGCCCCCGTCCTGAGTCGCCGCCGCTGTCGAAGTCACGGCCTTCGCAGCCGCCGCCGTCTTTTGCTCCTCGGCAGCAGCGGCAGCGACGTCGATCTTGCCCCTCTCGCTGGCCAGGCGCAGCGCGACGATCTTGTCGTGGACATACTGGGTGACGTGGACGCGGATCTCGAGGCCGAGCATGAGCGTGTCGGGGAACTTGGGGGCGAGGTCCATGATGAGGCCGCCGTATCCGCAGCCGACATCGGCGAACTCGACGGCGCGCTCGCGGCCCTGCGTGTCGGCTTTGGGCGTGGACCCGTGGCCCGGTGCGGCGGGCGGGTGGAAAAAGGACGGGTAGATGGTGGACCAGTCCATGGTCTCGGGCATCGAGGGGTAGGCGAGGTTGTGGTCGGAAAACGGGTTGGCGTGCGCGCGCTGCCGGTACCACCGCTTCTGCGGGATGACGACCTTGCCGCCGGCCTGGGCGTTGATGTGCGCCCTGGCCTGCTCGGCGCCAATCAGGTCGTGCTCGCTCTTGGGCTTTTGCTTGGTCGTCGACCCGCCGCCCTGGGTTCGTTTGCGCTTGCCTGCCATGTCGGGCGGGTGGTTGTCGGGGGGGCAGCGGGGGAGGGCGTGGCAGGGCGTGGCAGGAGAAGAGGGGGATGGTGGGGCGTGGAGGGTGCGAATGACGAGGGGCGAGCGCGGGAGGGGTGGATGATGGAGGAGCGTGTTGCGAGGAGCAGGAGCAGGAGCAGGAGCAGGTGTAGCGGAGGTGGCAGGAAGAAAGTCGATTCAGGTGGAGCAGCCCCGCCCGCCCTGCGCAGCCCTGCCTCTTGGGATTCTGTTTTTTCTCGCCGCCGGGGGGCCGTGGGCTGATCCGGCCGATAGATTCGTGATCGGGTGCGGGGTTTGGGGGGTGGGCTCGCCGTGGGTCCCGCCCGACCGCCCGACCGCCCGCCCGCCCGCCTTCCGAGACCACCGTCGAGCCGCCGCCGCCGCCGCCGTCATACCCCATCGCTCGCCCATACCTGGCCTCCATCATCTCTCCCCTCGCACGCACGCACGCACACACACACACACACACTCACACCACAAAAGAAATGGACAGGCTACCATCAGCAGACGAGTTCAAGGGTGAGTTCGAAGCCTACCGGCAATGTAGGCCCCTGTGTGCCTTGCGACACCGAACCATGCCAAGCAGACGCCGATCGACCTGCCACGCAACGACCCTCATCACACCCCTCTGATCTGGTCAACCGCACCCTCTTCTTCCCTCCGCTGCACAGCCGAGCTGGCGTCGCGCGACGAAAAGATCCGCGAGGGCTGGATCAAGACGATGGAGGCGCGCATCGTCCGCGAGGAGCTCCAAAAATGCCACAAGGCCGAGGGCGTCAACCACTATTCGGCCTGCGCCGACCTCGCAAAGACCTACCACAGCCTCCTCCTCGACGCAAAGGTACGTTGCCTGCCCGCGCCCGCGCTTGCGCCAGCGCTTCCTCGGGCTGGGACTGGTTTGCCGCGGTGGGCTCGTGGATCGCAGCACGGTACGGACGTCGAGAGGGACGGGGACGAGGCCTGGTTGGATGGACGATGGTTGGCCGGGTTGACCACAGACTGGCCTGGGCTGGGTTCGATGGCCACAGATGGTCTCGACCACGGAGAGAAGCCCGAGATGCAGCTCAGAGTGGCCTGCCAAGGACGCTAGCGATCCAGGTCCGCCGCCCGCTCATCCTGCCAGACGCTGACGAGCCATCCCTCTCTGTCACCGACTCACACAGGTCAAGGGATTCCGGGAGATTGAGCTCGCCTAGACCCTGCCCGAACGGGATGCTCGTCAGGCGCACAACGAGTTCGCAGCGGCGGCAAAGAGAGCAGCATGCCGATTCCGTCGCGGTACGCACAGCGAACGACGACGCCGGGCCTGGCTTGGCCTGGCTCGACCGCGGGACCTCTTCACTTGGCCCCCAACGGACTCGGTCTACGCCCCGCTGTGCTCTCGCGTGATTGCCGGATGAGACTGCAACACAGAACATGAAAAGCCAGCCCATCGGCGTTTGCACCGGTGAATGCCGCGGCGGGCCGGAGTGCCAGCTCGCTCGTCTGCCTCGCTGCACGCTTTTTGGAGGGTGGTGCGGGACCGGTGGGCCCGTGGTAGAGTACAGGAAGCTGTGCGGTGCGATCAAGAGCGCCAATAGTGAAAGTGGCGGCGCCTGCAGAAGGCACAGGGCCAGATGGGAGGAGGAAGGAGGGCGTGTTGGCCGCACGGCATACGACCTTGCCAATGCGGGTCGAGGGAGCGATGGGGAAGTTGTGGGAGCCCAAAGTCGTCGATGGACGGACGATGCTGCGGGCTCAGCCTGCGTACTCGCGCTGAAACTCTTGCAGCTCCGTCTCCTTTGTCTTGTACTGCTTCAATAGCTGCTCGAGGATCTGCTTGAGCTGCCGATGCAGAGGCGGGTCGAGTCGAGAGGTGCAGAGCGGGCGAGCGCAGAAAACGGGCCGACGTGTCAGCATCATGATGCACACCGGGCTGAGCTGCTTCAGCTCGAGAGACGACGGCAGGCGAGGCGGTGGGTATCACTCACGCCGTCGAGATTTGTTTGGAGGGCGGGGAGGACCTCTTTGACGGTCCTCTCGACCAGCACGCCTCCGATCAGGCGGAAGCACTTGCGATCCGGGTCGGCGGTCTGCGCCTCTGTGAGCGTCTCGATGACCAGCCTGCGCGCGTAGATGGAGAGAGGGGGAGTGTGCGCGTATCGGCCAAAGCTCCAAGTGATCAGATCCCGGTGGTGGGGTTGCGATGATGAAGATGCTAGGCAGGGGGAGACGCACCTGTGCTCGTCGGCCTCGCCCTCGAGCTCGCCGATCTTGCTGGCGATACCCTGCAGCTCGCTCCTTCTCGCCTGGTACTGCTGTGCGATCTCTGTACGGGTGGCGGTGCCAGGGCCAAAGAGGGCGGGAATGGAGCCATTGAGCCAAGTGCAAGGGTGCGAGGAGCGCCAGGTGGCCGCGACTCACCCTGCTCTGACAGCTGCCTGCGCTGCGCCGAGGCCGAGGCGGATGGTGCCGCCTTTGACGCCATGTCTGCTGTGTTGCGTTGCGTTGCGCTGCGTTGCGTGGCCGGGTGGGGGATCGAGAAGTCGTTGTGGTGGCCAAGTGGCGACGGTTGGCGAGAGAGGTCGGAGGGGGGCAGCGAGGTTGCAAAGCGGGGAGGGCGGGTCAAAGCGTCCCAGTCTGTGCCCTTTTGGAAGACGAGGCGTGGCCCGATTGGCGCGGAGAGCGGCGTGGCCTGGCCTGCCCGATGGCACCCAAAGGGGTCCAAGCCAAGCTCCACTTTCGTCGGCGCACGAACGGCGCACGAACCCCTTTGGAGTTTGGGTTGGGGCCTGGGATCCGATGACGGCGAAGCTGAGACCAGGCGGGGCGGGGCCAGGCCAGGGCCAGGGCCAGGGCCAGGGCCATCGTGGGCGAGCGGAGAAGCAGCTCCTGCGGCGACGCACAGCCACCTGCCTCATTGTCGCTGCTGCCTTCCCTTTGCTTCCTTCCTTCCTGCTCCCATCCAGCGCCACCCCGTCCTGGCCTACCCTAATCGTTGTCCATATCGACCGGTCAGTCCGCCTCTCTCGCAGCCGCACCTCGACCCTCTTCAACGCCCCCCATCTCCGCCCCTCTCGCCCGCCTCTGCCCCATCGACGTGCGACAAGATGGAGGCCATCAAGCTGCAAAGAAAATACCCCCAGTTGTACGTCGCACCGCTGCTCGATGTGCGCGTCGTGTGTCTGCTGCACGCCTTTGCTGACGATCGATCTTCCCTCTTTCGCCTGCCAACCGCCCGCCTGCCCACCTGCGCCGTGCTGCCGCAGCTCGCAAGAGGAGATGATGGGCCTCATCAACAAGTTTAGGACCATCGACGTCGAGGACAAGGGCTCCATCCCAAAGCAGGACGTCATCAAGGCGATCCAGGACCAGGGAGAGGCCTCCTACGACCAGGTCAGGGAGACGCTCAAGGAAGTCGACCTCGACGCTAGCGGAAGGGTCGAGCTCGACGACTATGTCGACGTGAGTAGACCGCGCCGCGCTGCAACCCCCCTCGCTCTCCCGCCGCTCTCTGCGAGCCTTGACAGCGGCCTCGCATACTCCATCTTCCGCTGTGCGCGTGCAGGATCCCCTCGTCTGACACCAACGTCTGCCCTTGCTCCCGACCTGACCCGATTCGACCCACCTGTCCAGCTCCTGGCCAAGCTGCGCGCGGGCCGCAACGCCTCGGCCGGCGCAGTGACCAAGGGCAAGGTGTTTGTCAAGGGAAGCAACGCCTCGATCCAGCACACGATCAACGAAGACGAGCGGTCCGAGTTTACGCGCCACATCAACTCGAACCTCGCCGGCGACCCGCATATTGGCAGCCGGCTGCCCATCCCCACCGACACCTTCCAGCTGTTTGACGAGTGCCGCGACGGCCTGGTCCTGTGCAAGCTCATCAACGACTCGGTGCCCGACACCATCGACGAGCGCGTCCTCAACTTTGGCAAGGGCGGCAAGGGCCCCAACGCCTTCCAGATGACCGAGAACAACAACATTGTCATCACCTCGGCCAAGGCCATTGGCTGCAGCGTCGTCAACATTGGCCCGCAGGACATCATCGACGGCAAGGAGCACCTCATCCTCGGCCTCGTCTGGCAGGTCATCCGCCGCGGACTGCTGAGCAAGATCGACCTCAAGAACCACCCGGAGCTGTACCGCCTGCTCGACGAGGGCGAGACGCTCGAGGAGTTCCTCCGGCTGCCGCCGGACCAGATCCTGCTGCGCTGGGTCAACTACCACCTCAAGGCGGCCAACTGGAACCGCCGCGTGGCCAACTTTAGCAAGGACGTCTCGGACGGCGAAAACTACACGGTGCTGCTGTCGCAGCTCAAGCCCGAGGCGTGCGACCGGAGGCCGCTGCAGGAGACGGACCTGATGGCGAGGGCCGAGATGGTGCTGCAGCGCGCCGACGCCATCGGGTGCCGCAAGTACCTGACGCCCGGCGCGCTCGTGGCGGGCAACCCCAAGCTCAACCTCGCCTTTGTCGCGCACCTCTTCAACACGTGGCCCTGCCTCGAGCCGCTCGAGGAGGCGCCGCCCGTCGAGATTGAGGACTTTGACGCCGAGGGCGAGCGCGAGGCGCGCGTCTTTACGCTGTGGCTCAACAGCCTCGACGTCGAGCCGGGCGTCTACAACCTGTTCGAGGACCTCAAGGACGGCAACGCCATCCTCCAGGCGTTCGACAAGGTCATCCCGGGCAGCGTCAGCTGGCGCCGCGTGTCCAAGCCCAAGGAGGGGCAGGAGCTGTCGCGGTTCAAGATGGTCGAGAACACCAACTACGCCGTCGACCTGGCCAAGACGAGCGGGATGCACATTGTCGGCATCCAGGGCGCCGACATTGTCGACGGGACGCGGACGCTGACGCTGGGGCTGGTGTGGCAGCTGATGCGGCTCAACATTACCAAGACGCTGTCGAGCCTGGGCAAGGGCGGGCGCGCCGTCAGCGACGCCGACATGGTGCGGTGGGCAAACGACCTGGTGCAGTCGACGGGCAAGACGAGCACGATGCGCAGCTTCAAGGACCCGAGCCTCAAGAATGCCGTCTTTTTCCTCGACCTGCTCGACGGGCTGCGCAAGGGCATCGTCGACTACAGCCTCGTCACGGCCGGAAGGACCGAGGACGAGTGCAGGTCCAACGCCAAGCTCGCCATCAGCATCGCCAGGAAGCTGGGAGCGCTCATCTTCCTCGTCCCCGAGGACATTGTCGAGCTGAGGCAGAGGCTGATCCTCACCTTTGTCGGGAGCCTCATGTCGTTGCAGTCCTAGGCGGTGGGGGGGTCCGGTCATCCTCCCTTGTCCTGCCCTCTGCGCCCCTGCAGACCTCGAGCGGCGACGGCGACGGCGACGGCGCGGCGCAGCGCACACTTCCTCTCTCGCCCAATTGCCCCCTCAATTCTCTCCTCGTCACGTTCTCCGCCCTGTCCCAGGCACCCCTCGTTTCCCCTCTACCTGCCTGCCCCTCTGTGAAAGTGTAAGCTCGAGCAGCAAGCAAACTAGCTAGTGCGTGTACCTTTTCCAAAGTCGATTGATGGACGTCCCGGTCGCCGAGGAACGTGCTCGATCCGATGTGCGTGCTCTTCCGCCTCCAGTCCGAGGCAAGGCGAGGCGAGGGTTAGGGCTAGAGCCAAGTGCGGGCGGTACTGCCTTCCGACGACCGCAAATCTTTTCTACATTCATAAATGGTAAATTCTGGGAAGCGGACACCGACCTCCGAATTAGTTTAGTGGCTATGACGGCACCTTGTCATTGCGCCTCCCTCTTCGCCGAGGGAGCGATCGGTGCAGACCCGGGTTCGATTCCCGGATTTGGAGCTTCTCTTTTTTTTTGGCCCCCCCCCCACCCTTCATCTTGGGTCCCCCCGCTTCTTTTGCTTGGATTTTCGGAAGAGTTATTTCTCGTCGAGGACCAGATGGGACGAGGCTGGCTCGTGAGCATCTCCGCATCCTCGCCCTCAACTGCTGACACCGACACGGACGCCAGCCTGAGCGTCGTAGGTGATCGGTTCAAGGACCACGCAGCGCGGTCACGTCCGTCGAAGCCAAGCAGGGCGTCGAGGACCGGGTGCTCGAGCATGCACCCGCGGGCTCAAAGCACGATAGATATCGAAACGACGGTCTGATTACGCCATCACGCAAACCCCTCACAACGCGGGGAGAAACAGTCAAGTACCGATCTAAAGGCGGTTGCGAGCCCCCGCGGGCGAGGCGAGGCTAGGCTAGGCTAGGCTAGGCTAGGCTAGGCCTGCTGGGGCCTAATCTGGGCAGTGAGGGGCTGCTCGTCGGCCCTACGGCCGCCCTGGTCGCTGACCTCCTGGCCCGGTCTCGCCTCGAGCTTCGACGACAGGCCCGCCGTCCGCACGTCCCACCCGTATCCGCCGCCGGGCGCGCCGGGCACGTTGCCGGGACCGTCGTAGTGCAGTTTTGTCACGTCGTAGTTGTCGATAAACTCCCAGCCGTGCTCCTTGACGTGGTAGAGGTTGATGGTCTGCGGAGGTGGAGCAAGAGAGAGTGGGGGAGTTCAGGAGGGGTGGTGCGTGAGCATGGACAGACGCTAGGTGCGACGCATGGTCAGCGCAAAGATGACTCACGTTGCCGGAGTAGGCATCTGGTGTCGAGAGCGGAGAGACAGAGGGGCAAGACGGAACAAGAGACCGTTCGTCAGCAACTGCCAGCAAGCCACGCCCCGCGACCGAGGCCCCGGCAGAAACTCACCCCGATGCGCGGCGGCGTAGATGCTCCTCCTCCCGAGCTCCTGGGCGTCTTCGTCCGAGAGGTCCCAGTGGTAGCCCTGGTCGAGGACGCCGTAGGCAAAGGTGCTGCCGGATCCGACGCTGAAGACGTCGCCCTTGAGCCGGGTGCCGTCCGAGTCGACGTAGAAGAGGGCGGGTCCGGTCTTGTCCCAGCCGCAGATCATGGTGCCCATGCTGAGGCCCATGCCCTTGTAGCTGTAGACGAGGTTGCTGAGGTACTTGCTGGCGGCGGCGACGCTGATGCGCTCCTTGTTGCGCAGCTCGTGGAGGCGGCACTGGATGCCGAGGTACGTCTCCCAGTACTGGCAGTCGGCGGCGCCTCCGGCCATGGTGCCCAGCAGGTACGGGTTGATCTCAATCACCTTTTTGACGGTGCCCGAGGCGATGTAGGAGCCCGCAGTGGCGCGCGAGTCGACGGCGACGATAATGCCGCCGCGGAAGCGGAAGGCGAGCGTCGTGGTGCCGTGCGACAGCTTGATCTTGGCGCCCGGGTTCGACGAGTCGACGTCGGTGTATTGAGAGAGGAAGGTGGCAGGCTGGAGTGGCGACCGAGGCCGGAAGTCGGGTCGGGTCGATTGCGGGGCGGGTGTCAGGAAAGGCGGCGCAGGGCAGCGCAGCGCAGGGTAGGGCAGGGCCCCGAGCGGGGTCCGACACTCACGTCTACGTTGGGCAGCTCAAACTGCGCAGGGGTGCCGTTGATGTGCTTGAGGTTTGTGTGGAAGGACGAGGTGGCTGCGGCGCCGCTGTTGCCAAAGTCGTCGTCGGCGGGCAGCGAGCTGCCGGTGGAGCTGAAGCGGGAGAGGATCGACTGCATCTTGGGCGGTCTGAGCGAGGAAGAAAGAGGCGAGGAAGCTGGGTGATGATGGACTTGCGGTGGCGACCTCGTCTGCTTCTGCGGTCGAATGTCGATGCTGGCAGTATCGAGAGACGGAGGAGATGGTGACAGGCGTCGAGGTCGAGAGCAGGAGGGGGAGAAAGAGAGAAGCTCTGTGCGCTCTCCACCGTCGCTTTGGTGGAGGGCGGGCGAGGCCAGCACCGGAGACGCGCAAGTGCCACCGCGCCGAGCCCACTCGGCCGAATGAAACTTGGCCGTGATCGCCCCTCGCAGCCCCCCGGCCAGCCCCACCGCCAAAGGCCGCCACCGCTTCCCTCGACGCAGCTCTCGCAAACCGGGCTGAGCCACGCAACGGCACCGCCCCATCAGTGCACATCGATAGCCCCCTCACGCTATCACTTGGCGACACTCTCCCCTCACTAAGCTTTCGACATCCAGTCAGGCAAAGCGCACTCGCCACAAGGCCCCTGGCGCACACACGGCTCGGCGTGGGGAAAAAAGGGGGGACTGGACATTACAGGGCAGGTCGTAGGCGTCGTCAGGGGAGGATTTAGAGGAAGAACAACGTCGGCAGCAGGTGGTGCGTGCGTATATACAGACGGGTCGTGAGATCGAGAGATAAAACAAGAGTGTCAACCGACAGCGGGGGGTGGGGGAAGGCTCTTCATCGTGACACAACGTTGAAAGGGTGGGCGGGGGGTCGTTGCTTCCGTGACACCGTCGTGAGAAAGAGGAAAGCAAGAGGAAAAGTTCGTGCCGGCACCAAGGCGACGAGGACGTCGTCTGGGCATGGCGTGGTATGAAGAGGGAAAAGGACCGGCCGCTCTGTCCAAAGAGCAACGAGAGGCCGAAGTGTCGAAGTCGCGACCAGACTTGCTCGCCAGCTCATACGTCGTCGTCGAGCCTGGAAAGCAGTGCAGCAGCTCAGCTCGGCTCGGCTCAGCGCGATTCTAGGTACCAGCGGCAGGGAGGCGAGCGACTCGAGGTGGAGCATCGCCGACGGCAAGGGCGGCGATCCGATGGTGGAACAGGCTGGATGCGTCGGCCTTCAATGAGCAGGGCAGACCGGCGCGAGGCCCGTCGAGGCTGGCAAGGTAGCGATTCGACGCTTAGAACATGCAGTCTGCGATCAAGCAAAGGCAAAGGGTAGACGAGGGATGGGACCGGTCAGTGCCTGGACAACAATGCTAGACAGCACCCTCGCGCTCCGCACAGCGGCATCGAGCGCAAAACACTCACCGAGACAGAGGTCCTCGAGACAGCAGCACGCGAGCATACCGGCGCAGCACGCGCAGCAGGCAGTTCCACCTCCTCCTCCGCCGCCCTTCTTCTGCGGGGGCTGCTGGACGTAGACGGGCTGCGGCTGCGGGTTGGGGTAGTAGCCCTGCTGCTGGCCGCCGTAGGCCTGCTGGGGAGGGGGAGGGTAGTAGCCCTGCTGGGGCTGGCCGTATCCCTGCTGGGGGTAGCCCTGCTGCGGGTAGCCGCCTGCAGAGAGGTCGAGGAGAGCGAGAGAGGGCGAGAATGAAGTTGGGAGGAACGGGGCGAGGTCAGCACGCACGGTTCCATGCGACCAAGGGCGGGGCAGCGGCAGAAGTCCGGCGTCGCTCGCTCGCTCGCCAGCATTTGGCTCCCTCCCTCGAGGAAGTACATCCGATGCGGTCACGATCACGGGCGTCCTCATATGCTCCGGCATGGACTTAGGATGTCGAGCCCTGCTGGTTCTGGCGACAGAGCGAGCGCCCGCCACCCGCCGCCCCAGATCACCCAAAAGACGATCCGAGTCCCACCGACAGTGGCGAGCACGTCCAGAGCGGCGCCAGTCCACCGTGGAGGGGCCTGAACGATCCACCGTGCCACTTTCCCGACGACGTACCCTGAGGAGCGCCGCCGCCGCCGTAGTAGTCCTTGGCCGACATGGTTGCTGCTGGGCTTCTTGCTCGAGGAGCGATGGGAGGGTTTGGCGAATGCAGTCGTCGAGCGGGTTGCGCTGGCGATGAGAGAGGTCGAGATAGGTCGAGTGTCGGGCGAGGCTCCGTGTGGCGAAGGAGATGGAGGTGGATGGAGGTGGTCGTGTAGATGGAACGACGACGGCGGTCGACGACGGCCAAATTTCCGGCCAGCCCGCCCACCGCCGCCGCCCCGCTCGCTCGCTCGCCCCAGCCAGCCTGCCTGCCTCGAGTAGTCGGTCAGGCCGCGGCGGGCCCGCGTACGGCGGCGAGACGCAAGGCCAGCCCAGGCCTGGCCGCTGGCTGCTGCCCGCTCGCCCGCTTGCCCGCATTCCGGCGCCGGCGTCCGCCTCCGTCGTAGGCTGTGCACCGACCGACCCAGGCCCGCCGCACCCTCGCTGCCTTTCCCCATTCGGCCTGGCGTGGCCCGCTCCATGACACGCACAGAGGAGCGAAGCAGATCGAGTTGGCCGTTGCCGCCCTTGGCCTTCTTCTCTCGCCTCCGGGTTGCTCCTGCCCTCCATTTCGGATGTGGCGCCGGAAAGGGCTTCCCACCTGTCCGGATTGTGGCAAGTTCCTTGCCGGGGCTCGACGCCGGCACGGCACTCCAAGAAGCGAGCCAAGGGGCAGGCAGGTTGCCGTTGGTCGCCACCCAAGCTGGCATGGCAGGTTCGACGCCCCCTGAGCTGAGCTGGGCCGGGCCTCGCCCACCCAACGGCGGCCACGTTGCCGTACCCTGAGGCGCAGCCGGGCAGGGCTGTGCTGAAAACCGTTCGCAGATCCCAGCCACTCTAGCCCGGCCTGCCTGCCTGCACGCTTGCCGGCCCTTCGGCATCGCCCGCCCCCTTCAGCCTCTTCTCGCACGAGAACTCTGCCGGAGCCCAACCCGGAGCTCAGCCACCACCGTACCGTACCTCGCCCGATGAGCTCCGATACCGGTTGCCCGCCCTCCCGCGCGCCAAGGCAGTCAGACAGTGTCGCGCCCCGCGCTCAACTTCCAGACCGCGACACAGACGGACAATCCTACGTGTTCACGGGGACGATCTGGCGTGCCGATGCACCCCGTTGTTCTTTTTGGACGTCGCATCGAGGATCGAGACTAGAGGAACGACGGGACACGGAGCGAGGGGCAGAGCGCAGCCCCGTCAGTCTAGGCGGTGATCTTCTTGAGGATGGCCTCCTCGCACTCGGTGGTGGTCGCCTTGCCGCCGAGGTCCGGCGTGAGGTGCTTGGCCTCGCGGATGACGTCGTCGACGGCGCGGTAGATGGTGAGCGCCGGATCCGTGTAGCCCATGTACTCGAGCAGCAGGGCGGCGCTGCGGATCGAGGCAATCGGGTTGGCCTTCTGCTGGCCGGCAATGTCGGGCGCGGAGCCGTGGACAGGCTCGCCCATGAAGAAGCTGTCGCCGGCGTTGACGCTCGACACGAGGCCCAGGGATCCGACGAGGGCGGCGGCGCCGTCCGAGATAATGTCGCCGTACAGGTTGGGCGCGACGACGACGTCAAAGACGTGGGGCTCGCGGAAGAGGCGGTAGACCATCGAGTCGACAATCTGCTCGTCGAGCGCAATGCCCTCGTACCGGCCCGCGCCGCCGTTCTTCTTGAGGTCCTTTTCGTAGACGTCGCGGACGCAGGTGCGGAAGAGGCCGTCGGTCGTCGAGAGCACGTTGGACTTGTGGCAGATGGTGACGGCCGCCTGTCCGCGCGCCGCAGAGACGCCCGTCTTGGCGCGCAGCTGCTCGCGGGCCAGCGCCACCTCGAACGCCTTTTTGCCGATCCTCGTCGAGGCGCGCTCCGAAATCTGGCGGATCGCCTTGGCCACCTTGCCGTTGGGCGTGTCCTCGATGGTCTCGGACTTGACGTACTGCGGGGGTGGCGCGGGGATGCGGCCGGCGTTGGTGGCGCAGGGAGAGGGGTGGCCATCGCATCGGGGCCGTCAGCTGCCCGGCCTCGACGTCGTCCGCGACATCCTCTCGAGACAAGACACAGGCAGGGGCCACGCTGGACGCGGGCGGGCCACTCACCAGGCACTCGGTGTTTTCCCTGACGATGACGGCGTCGATAAACTTCTGATCGTCCTTGGTGCCCCTGACGCCGACGACGGGGCGGATGTTGGCGTACAGGTCGAGCTCCTTTCTCAGGCGGACGATCGGCGAGCTGTAGCCCTCGACCTTGTGCGAGGGGCTCGAGACGGCGCCAAACATGGCTCCGTCGCACTCGTTCTTGAGCGTGTCGATGGTCTTTTGCGGCAGCGCCGACCCGGTCTTCTGGAAGCACTCCCAGCCGGCGTCGAGCTCGACAAACTCAAACTTGGGCGCGCCCGGCGTCGCCTGCAGCACCCGCTGCGCGGCCGGGAGCACCTCGCGGCCGATGCCGTCGGCGGGCATCATGCCGAGCCTCAGGGCCTTGGAGCCGTTCTTGAGGATCGAGGCGGCGGTGGCAGTCATGGTCGAGTTGGGTAGGTGGTGGTGGCGGCGGCGGTGGCGGCTGTGCAGCAAGGAAGAGGAGGGTCGAGAGAAAGGCGGTGCAGGGCAAGACGCTTGGGATGGTGGTCAAGCTCCAGAGAAGACGCCCCCGCTTGCCCCGCCTGCTTCCGGGTCTGCTTCTTCGTCTGCCCTCTCCTCCCCTGACTCACCCGCTTTCACCGGGCTAGCCAAGGTGGGTCTTCGGCATTTCTCCGAGATGCTGGAATATATCTTACTTTTATAAACACAATATTTTGCGCTCCCGACATCAACAGGCCGGTTGGCCCAATTGGTAAGGCGTCTGACTACGATCAAAGCACACACGCCCTGTGTTCTCAACATCATCGATAATCAGGAGATTCTGGGTTCGAGCCCCAGGCTGGTCATCACTTTTTTCTCCTCCGGTTTCTGAGCATTCGTGACGGGGGGAAGACTTTTTGGAGCCAGGGAGGCGGGGTGGTTTGAACCAAATCCGGGTTCTGGGTTCGAGCCCCAAGCCGCCTGTCCTTGTGGCTGTTTGCTTGCTCGTTTGGCAGCTCGATGGCGTCGCTCGCTCGCCTTCGCCTCGGTTGGCATCTCTCGTTGGATCACACGTCAGGGTTCTGGGGGTGACTCTGCACGGACAAGAGGTGAGGGCGGCGAGGGTGCTATGCTGCATTGCAAGTGACGGACGACGACGACGAACGGCGAACGGCAGACGACCAGCATGACCGCCAGCCGGTCCCTCTCCCCCCGTGCTGGCCCCCGGCCCGTTTAATCCCACATGCGAATGACGCCGTCCCATCCGCCGCTGACGAGTTTGCTCGACTCGTGGGGCAGCCATTCGTGGCAGATGCTGGCCTCCTTGTGCGCCCTGCTGATGCGCTTAAGCAGCCTGCCCGACTTCCAGTCCCAGAAGACGAGGTTGCCCTCGCCATCCCCGCTCGAGATGAACCGACCATCGGGGCTAAACGAGACCTGACACGCGAACCCGGCGACGGCGTGGCCCTTGAACGCCTTTTTGCGGTTGGCCTTGAACGAGTCGGCGCTGTAGACGAGGATCTGGTTGTCCATGCTCTGGCACGCCATCCACTTTTTGTTGGGGTGCACCGTCACCGCCGGCATCGAGTGCATCGTCGGATCGGCAATGTACTTGATCATGACCGGGATGTTGTAGTCCCACACCCGCATCGTCTTGTCGTCCGACGTCGACACGAACCGCCGGTTCTCGTCGACAAACGTGATCGTGTTGACGGGACCCAGGTGCTGGTTGTACTCTTGCGTAATCTCCGAGGCATCCAGGTCGTACTGCGAGGGGGGCACGGTGAGCACAGGGAGCAGGGGCAAGCAAAGAGAGAGAGAGAGAGCAAGGGGTCGACGGGCAGAGTGAAGACAGGGGCGTCAACGTCGGTTCCCCAGCGGACCTGCAGGCAAGGCGGGAGGACCCGCGCACACGCACCTGGATAATCTTCTTGTCGCTCATGCCGGCGAGGAAGGTGTTCTGCTTGTCGTCGTCCGGATGGAACTTGACGCAGTACGGCACCTTGCCGTTGGAAAACGCCTGCAGGCAGGCGCCCGTCTCAGTGTCCCACAGCTTGATCTGGCGGTCGTAGCCGGCAGAGAGGAAGCGGCGGCCGTCGTTGGAGAAGCAGATGTCGCGCACGGCCTTGGAGTGGCCCATAAAGGTGCGCAGGCAGCTGCCCTCGTGGTAGACGTCCCACAGCTTGATCTTGGTGTCCATCGAGGCCGAGAGCATGAGGTGGCCCGACTGGGGAAAGAGGCGGAGCGCCGAGATGCCCTTGGTGTGGCCGGTAAAGGTGTGGACGCACGTCTTGGGCAGGTACGACTCGGTGGCGCCCGGCTCGCCGGCGAGGTTGACGTCGACGTCGGTGGGGATGTGCATGTAGGTGCGACCCTGGTAGTCGTACATGCTCTTGCCGTGGAAGATGCTCTTTTCGGTGCCGGCCTCCTCGTCCTGGAGGCGCTTGGCCTCGGCCTTTTCCTTTTCAATCTTGCGGTTCGAGCTGAGCTCCTCGGCGCGCGCCAGCTCGGCCTCGGTGGGGCCGACGCCGCCCTCGACGTGGACCTTTTCGCCGCTCCAGCCGCCCCAGGGCCCGACGTAGGCGCCCTCGCCCTCGACAATCGACGGGTCGCCGCTCTGCCCCTTGCGCTTCTTGCGCAGCTCCTTGGCGGCCGCCCTGCCCTCCTTGCCGCCGCCGCGCAGCTCGAACGCGGTGGCGCCGTCGGCCTGCGCGACGGCACCGACGTCTCCGACCCAGCCGCCCTGGGCGACGCCGCCGCCGAGGAGCGAAGGGTTGCGCGCGTAGCCCTGCACGTCAAAGGTGCGCTGCTGGTTGCGGAAGTCGTAGTCGCTGATGGCGGCGGCCTCGACATGACCGCTGAGGGTGTTTTGCTGTGCTCCGAGGCGGCGCTGTGCCTCTGATGCGAAGGGGTTCTGCGGGCCGAGGACGGGTGCGGTCATGTCCTTGTAGGGGATGTTGACGTGCATGGTGGTGTCGGTGGGCCGTGTGAGGAGGGCGGTGGTGGACGCGGTGTTGTCGATGACCTCTGGGGCTGCTAGGGTGAGCGCTGCGGATGACGAGGTCAGCGGCGGCGGCGGCGGCGGTGCTGTCGACGAGGAGGTAGAGGCGGAAGAAGGATGTGCTGTCGCGGCTGGTGGTGGGCCCCTGCGGCGTTTTGATGGCGGTGCGTCGCGGGCTACTCCTGCTGCTGCTGCTGCGGGTGCTGGTGTGGAGACCTGCGGTGCCTGTTCGTTTGCGATGGACGAGAGGCCGAATGCATCCGAGGGGTCGTAATCTGGGTCCTGGTCATCGTGTGCGGATGGTATTGGCTTGTCGGCAGCGGCGGTAGTGTGAGTTGCGGGCGCCGTGTGCTGCTGCTGCTGCTGCTGAGATGCCGACTCTGAGTCGCTATCTGATGCGTAGCCCTGAAGAGAATCCATGCTGGGCGGTTGAAGCTGTTGAGATGGGGGGCGATGCGAGGATGGAGGTGGAAGTGTCGATGGCCTGCCAGGACGCCCGCGCCCCACTCCACACGACGACGGAGAGCGAGCGTGTTGCTGACTAAGCAACAACTTTTTTTGAGCTTGGCCAGCGAGGGCCATAAGTTCACTGCTCTTCTTTCCAGGGACCCTCGAGTCGACTTGACTGCACCATTCTGCATTGCCGGCTGCTTTGCTACACCATCGGATTGCTGCCGCCACCCTCCTCCCCCTCTCCTCCGCCCATCGTAACCTCTTAGAGATGCCGTTCAACCCGAGGGACAAGGTCAAGAACACCACCCGCCTTCCAGCAGCGCTTCGAGACGAGCTCGGCCTGCCACACCTCGGGCCCGCTCGCCCCTCAGGCAGAGGCGCATACCGCGGCGGCGGCCACAGGCACCAGGCCAGCAACAGGGGCGGTCACAGGGGCTCGAACCATTCCAACAGGCCATACGATGGCAACGGCAGCCACAATGACGGCCAACGCGGCCACACGTCCAAGCCACAGCTCAAAGTCATTGGCAAGGGCCCTCGCGCGCAGCAGCGCGGTAGCACCAACAGCAACAGCAACAGCAACAGCAACAGCCTGGCCTCTCCCGTAGCATCCTCATCCAACAAACAGATCGACTCGCGACCCACAAGGGATCACAAGAAGCGCAAGCAGAACGAGAGCGTGCCGTCCAAGGGCAGCAAAAAGGCAAAGACATCACATCCAGCCGCATCCTCGGACGACGACGACGACGACGGTAGCGATGACCAAGACGCCGCCGCATCGCAGCCAAAGATGCGCATGAACCCCTTCACCGGCGCTATGGAAGAGGTCAAACCCAAACCCAACGCCTCAAAGTCCAAGTCCTCTTCCACCTCGGCGACGGCCAAACCCACCGCACTCGAAAAGCTCCTCGCAAAGGCAGAGTCGAAATCCTCGTCGGCCAACGGCAAGGGCAAGGCCGTCCTGCCCAAGCGCAAGAAGAGGAGCAAGATGAGCCAGGTCGAAAAGGACGAGGAGGACGAGATTGCATGGCTCGAGGCCCACATCGGCAAGGCCAGCGACGACACAAAGGACGACCTCGACGACTTCCTCGAAGACCTCGACCGATTCCAGGTCGGAATGTACGACCCAGACGCCGACGCCGACTCTGACGACGACGACCAAGACTCAGAGGACAGCAGAAGCCAGAGCGAAACCGACAGCGGCAGCGGCAGCGAAAGCGAAAGCGAAGACGAGAGCGACGACAGCGGGGCAGGGATCGAAGACCAAGAGGCCAGCGACGCCTCCGACGACGGCGACGAGGCAGAGAGCGTCGGTGGCACAGAGGCGAGCATCGACGAGGACGACATCGATGCCCTTGCCGAGATGGACTTTGACAGCAACGACGAGGCTGACTTTAGCAATTGGGACGCCGCCATGGCCACCACCGACGAGGAAAACGACGATCAGGAGGACGGCGAGAGCGACAGCGAGGACGAGGACGAGGACGAGGGCGAGGGCGAGGAAGATGGAGAAGAGGACGGACGGGAGGACGGCAGCGACAGCGACAATGCAGATGCCCCCGGCGACAAGCCAGAGGATCCGACTGCGTCGCCGGCGTCGCCCGCAGTGGCAGCGCCCGCCCTGCCGGCCCCCACAGCCGGCCGCTACATCCCGCCGGCGCTGCGTGCCAAGATGGCCGCCGAGGCAGCCGCTGCAGCTGCGCCTGGCTCGGCACCGGCGCCCGAGGATTCCATCGAGCAGCAGAAGCTGCGTCGCCAGGCCAAGGGTCTGCTCAACAGGCTGGGCGACGCCAACATCGACTCGATCGTCACCGAGTTCGAGGCTCTCTACCGCTCCCACTCGCGCGCCGAGGTGACTTCGATGATCACGTCGCTCGTACTCGACACCATCACGGCGCGCGCCAACCTGATCGACACGTACGTCATCCTCCACGCCGCCTTTGTCGCGGCGCTGCACAAGGTCGTCGGCGTCGAGTTTGCCGCCTTTTTCGTGCAGAAGCTCGTCGAGGACCTCTTGCGCCACTACCGCGCGCTCAGGGAGGACGGCAAGCACGCCGGCAGCACTGCTGCGGGCGCCGGCGACGACGAGGAAGAGGTCAAGGGCAAGGAGTGCCTCAACCTGACGGTCCTCGTCTGCGAGCTCTACAACCTGCAGGTCGTCGCCTGCCCGCTCATCTACGACCTCATCCGCCTCTTTATCGGGCAGCAGGCGTCGGAGCACAAGCAGCCGGCGGCAGCGACGACGCCGATGCTCGAGACCGACGTCGAGCTGCTGCTCAAGGTGGTGCGGTCGGCGGGCTCGCAGCTGCGCCACGACGACCCGGGCTCGCTCAAGGCCATCATCACGCTGACGCAGGAGCGCGTCGCCGCCTCGTCGGCCTCGTCGGCCTCGACGACGACGACGACGAAGCTGAGCAGCCGGTCGAGGTTCATGCTCGAGCGCCTGGGCGACCTCAAGAACAACCGCAGCGCCAAGGCGGGCAGCAACGACCCGTCGGACCCGTCGTCGCCGGCGGGGCAGCTGCTGACGCGGATGAAAAAATTCCTTGGCGGGATGGGCAAGAAGCGCACGGTGCGGGCGTACGATCCGCTGCGGATCTCGCTCAAGGACCTCGAGGACGCCGACAAGAAGGGCAAGTGGTGGCTCGTCGGGTCGGCGTGGACGGGCCAGACGGATCAGAAGGACGCCCAGGGCCTCACCAAGCTGCTGCCCATGAACGCCCGCGCGTCGACCATCCAGTCTCTCTCGCGCACCGGAGGCGACGACGGGGATGTCGACGAAGAGACGCGGAAGGCTGCCATCGAGGAGGAGCGGCAGCGCGAGGCGCTGCTGGCGCTGGCGCGCAAGCAGGGCATGAACACCGACGCGCGGCGCAGCGTCTTTGTGACGATCATGTCGGCCGAGGACTACCAGGACGCGGCGCAGAAGCTGCTCGGGCTCAAGATGAACGAGGTGCAGCGCCGCGAGATTATCCGCGTCCTGCTGCACTGCGTCGGATCGGTGAGTATCGCGCAGGCTGGTGTTGCGGGCACGAAACCACTGGGGCGAGGCGGCGCATGCTGACCGACTCGCCCGCCCTTTCATGCACCCTTCTTGCCCTCCCTCACACCTGCGCGACGTTGGCCGCGCCGCACGCACAACAGGAAAAGACGTACAACCCGTACTACACCCTGATCCTGAGTTCGCTCAGCACGACGTCGCACAGCATCAAGATCACGCTGCAATACTGTCTGTGGGACTTTTTGCGCGAGATTGGCGAGAAAAACGTGGCGGGCCACTCGATGTCGTCGCGCCTCGGCGACGGTCCTTCGTCGTTTGACGACGAGGATGACGACGACGACGACGAGGGGCAGTCGGGCAAGGGCAAGCTTTCGCCGCGTCGACTTTCCAACGTGGCGCAGACGTACGCGTGGCTCCTTTCGCGTTCGATTCTGCATCTGCACGTTCTCAAGCCCGTCGATTTCACGTCGTTGCGACCGAGGGGGACGTGGTTCCTTCAACTCCTATTCGGATACACGGTTCTATCGTGCCAGGCTGCCAATCCGGCTTCGACATTCTCACTTCCCCCCTCCTCCTCCTCCTCCAAGAACCGAAGCGCAGGAGGGTATGGGGGAGAAAAGAAGCTCGAGAATGCAGTAAGGGCCGGGTTGGTGGGCAACCTGGATCTGTGTCGGGGTATACTCTGGTTCCTCAAGAGCCACCTCGGTCCGTCGCAACAGCGAAACGTCGTACTCGGCGATGACTCCTCGACGACGAAGAAGAACAAAAAGAGGACGCAGGACGTCAAGATGGACAAACGGGTCGAGAGGATCCTCGAATCGCTGCAACGCGGTGTCGACGTTTTTGCCGTCCTCGTCGAGGCGGCGGGTAAAGGCGTACTCGGTGCCAGCGACGATGCATTGGGCGCTGGCATGGGCCCGTCCCACCGCGACGGCCTCGGCGGCTTCGAGGGCAGCGATGACGGCTCCGACGACGACGACGACGACGACGACGAGGGAGGCGGGATGGAGATGACTTGGTGATCGTCGCTTCGCTCCGATATCTAGCAACTCAGCGCCGCCACGTTCACTCGCCACCTCATCCTGCCGCCGCTCGACGACGCGCGCTCGCTCGCTCGCCTGTTGGATGCAAGATCCGATTGTCCAATTCCAGCGACCGAGATGAGATGAGACGAGGATAAAAACAAAGAAAAGATGCTACAATGATGCTGAGTGATGACGATGGGTCGGTGGGGGCGGTCTGCCCTCACAGTGCCAAGGGCCGTCGGCGCCTTGCTTGGCGGAGCGCCGTCTGCCCTCCTCTCAACAGCCCTGGAGCTCGTTTCTGGGCCATCGGTCCTTGGGGAACCGCTGGATGGTGTTGTCGTCGTACAGGTCGGCGTGGTTCTCGATGTACTTCTTGGTCGGCATGTCCGGCGGGTCGCACGACACCTTGTCCGGACGGCCGTCGATTTGGTAGACGCGGACGTAGTCGATCTTCATGATGCCCGGGAACTCGAGCTCGGCCCAGTTGGGAGGCTGGAAGTTGTACGCCATGGCCAAATTCATGATGAGAGACTGCAGAGAGCCCGGGGAGCGAGGCGGGAAGCAGACAGAGACGAGCAGGTAAAACGAGGTCGTGGGGGCGTGTCAGTCTGGCGCGCCGTAGAATTGGGACCACAATGGCGTCGCCTCCTGGGCACTCACCATCGGCTCGCGAGGGATCAGCCGCCTGCCAATGTCGAGCTCCGGCACGGGTCCCAGAGCCTCCGAGTAGACGGACCACATCGCCTTGCCGTCAATGTACCAAGTCACGTAGGCGCCCTCGCCGGATCCGTCCCAGTCTGGCTCCCACTCGAGGCCGAACGTGGTGAAGCGCGATCCCGGCTCCTTGTCGTAGGCGTGGGCGGGTACGTCGCTGAGGCCCGAGACGGCCATCTGCAGCTCGTTGCCGTGGTAGTCGTTGATCTCGGTGGTGGCCGGGTCGTGGATGGCCACCTCGCCCCTCGCCGTGCTGTTACCGTAGTAGTAGTCAATGTCGAACGGCGCCATCTGGAGCGACTGCGACGACTGACCGCCGCGCGGTCCAATCTTGGCCTCGAGCAGGTCGATTTCGGGCGCCGAACGACCCGTGAACCGGTTGGGGCCCGGGTGGTCCGAACCGGGGCAGGTGCACGCGGGCAGGCGCATGCCCGGCAGCCACGAGAGCGCGTAGTCGACCTGGTACGAGAACTGGCCGTTGGCGCGGACCGCCTTGGGCGGGCCGGTGCCGTTGATGAATGTCTGGTTGGGCAGCATGCCCGTGTCGCACGACGAGTAGCTGTAAGGCCACATGCCCTCCTGTGCAGAGGCGGGTCGACGATGGAGAGAGTGAGGGGCGTGGAAAGAACGAGTCAGCCAAGAGTGTTACGAGGGAGGCACAAGAGCGGTCGAGGGCGCCATTTCCCCATCCCTGGGAACCCGTCCGCGACACTCACGTTAGTGCCACTGTATCCCGGTCGTCCCAGGTTGCCCATGGTCCAGAGTCCTGGCCAGAAGCCCGCGACGTTGTGGTAGCCGGGAAGGATGGCCGAGACTGGTGCACGCCGAGGTTGCGAAGGCGGGACGGGGCGTGGCAAAGGCAGGGTGAGGACGGAGGCGCGTGTCAGTGGGACCGCCACCTCTCCGACCGAACGCAGATCGAGGTCGGCGCTACTCACTCTCGAGGTAGCCGCCCTGGAAGCAGACCTTGTTCCAGCTCTGAAGCATGCCGGAGCGGAAGTTGAGTCCGTTGGTGGCCCTCTCCTCGAAGGCGATCTGGAGGTGGCCGTCGGTCGTGTTGAGCGCCTCGGGATCGTACCACTCGTAGTCCATGGTGCCGCTGTACCATCCGTTGAAGGCCTCCCAGTAGGGGTCGTCGCCGGGCCAGAAGGTCCTGCCGGGCTCGTTGAACTCGTCGCTGAAGACGAGGTGCCACTTTTTCCCGTCGAGGATGCCCGTGTGGGCCATGGCGTCCTGGGGCGTGTCGCGGTCAATGAGGCCGCGCTTGAGCTGGGCCGGGTAGGCGGTGCGCGACGAGACCTCCTGGGAAGAGGTGACGATGGCCTTGTCGCGCATGTAGACGCTGAGGACGGGGTAGCCGAGGAAGAGCATGAGCAGGCCGCCTCCGATGAGGGCGAGGGTGCCTACGTTGAGGACGCCGCGGAACGACATTTCCTTTGAGCTCTTGTCGGCAGTCGAGACGTCGTGGAGCCAGTCGTCTCCGGCATCGTCGTCAATGTGGCCAAAGGGATCCTTGGGACCCTTTGCAGGCGCGGCGACGCCTGGACCGACAAAGGTGGAAGAGAAGGGCGAAGAGGCCTGTGCTGAGCCGACCTGTCCGTCTGCTGATCTGAATCCGGTCGAGCCGGAGCGGGAGCTAGCACCTTCGCCCTCGATCGACGAGTGGTTCGAGGTGCTGCCGTTGAGGTCCATTCTGGCGTAGTTGCCCCTGGCGGCCATGGCAACGTGTGCCGCTACAAGGGTCGCAGCTGGGAACGATTAGCTGCCAGAGGTATCGCTGGGCTTGGATGGTGTCCGATAGAGGTGCAAGGGCGTGGCTGGGAAAGGCCAGGACCGTGGTCGGGGGGATAGTGGTCGGTGTTGGGCAAAGGCGGTGATGGCGGCGCGCCTGGTGGTAGAGATGATGGTGGTGGTGGTGGTGGTGATACGAGGAGGAGGACGTCTAGGGCTCCTCGCACCTCGGGATGCTCTGCAAGGCATGCTACCGGTACGCCAGTCGAGATGAAGGGCGAGCTCCAAGGGATACGCTGCCGATACAGAGTAGCGCACCTGTGCACGTTGTGAGCCGCCGGACGATGCTTGGCGCCTTTCCCCCCTGTCTGCGCCCGTACGCGTGTTGAGCCCAGCATCGAGATGGCACCGAAGCCGAACAGTCGAGACCGAACGGTCAACCGGCCATACAGCAATTGGTGGCATGATTGAGCGTCAGGCTAGGGCAAGGCGCTCAGGCTAAGCAGGCAGCAGGCTGGGTTGAGGTGGCTCGACGAGTCGAGATGGATGGGCACTGTGGGCGCCCCAGTGGCGGCATCGGCCCAAAACCTGACGCTGCAAGCCGGGAAGCAGGCGGCCTGCCCCGGTGCGCCCCGCTCTTGCAGCTGCCTGCCTCTTGACAGCGGGAAAAGTTTGGCCAGGCCAGGCCAGGCCGAGTCTTGGCATCAGCGAACCAGCGCGCCGACGTCCGGGCCTCTGGTCTTGGCAGTCCTCGCCTCGCCTGCCTGGGCGCGCCGACTGCACTGAAAGAGCGAGCTGGCAACACCCCACGCACGAAACTCCGGGCTGCAGATCCAGGGACGCTCACGGCCCCGCGATTTTCGGTTTCCTGCCGATGGCTGGCCTGGCAGCCCGTCCCCTCCAGCCCCTTGATACAAAGAGTGCGCCTATGGTCGTGCCGTGCCGTACAAAGCCGCAGGTTCTCAGGCCTTTGCACGTAGTTGCGCACGCACGCTTGCTCGCTCGCACGTCCGCTTCACCATGCTTGCTAGGCCATTGAGCTGTTGAGGCCAGCTGGCCGGTCGGTACTGTAATGAATCCGCCCAAAGAACAACGCGGCGTGTCCCCTAAGCAGGCTAGGCCGGAATTCATGTGGATCGGAGAATTTGGCCGGGGACGGGCGTCCTGGCTCGCTGCCTGGCACCCTCGCTCCTCCTCGCTCGGCCTGCCTCCGTGCCTCTGCCTCGACCGAGCCCGCCTTTCTTTGTATGCCATGCACGAGCGGGACAGGAGACAGAAGAGAGAGAGAGAGGGGCCAACGGCCTCTCGCGATCATGTTGCCGTCCCGGCGTGGCAGGCCTTGCCCATCCTGCCTGTCCATTCGGCCGCCAGCGTTTCTCTTCTAACAGAGGATGCGTCAGTCGAAGCGGGCAGGGCTTCTATCTGCTCGATTCCACGCCTGCGGGGTGGAGCAGCAGGAAACCCTGGCCTCGCCAAGCACGCGTGCTGCTGCTGCCGTGGCTGGTTTTGCTTGGCTTTTCTTCTTGGCGCCGCGCCGCGCGGATCCCTTCCGATACCGCGTTGCGTCGACCGCCTGGTCTGGCCAAGCCTGCCTGCCGTCCAAGCAACACCGCACCTTTCAGCCTGCCCCCTGACCTCCCTCCCCCCCGGCTTACCCTGACGCAACAGCCGGCGGCGGGCCGAACCGTCTCTGCGAGCTTGAGATGCGATGCATATCGTGTCGGAGAGTCGACGATGGTCGGTACCGTAGCCACGACGGTGGCAGCCGTGGAAGCGCTCCCCATTGACCCTGGAGAGAAACCACCATCACCCTCCGTCTACCGTAGCGCGCCTCCTTGCGATCTTTGCCCAGAGCGACCGCCATCGGCTCAAGCTCCGACATCAGCACATCGTCCGACCGCGTTCCCGGGGCGTCATCGTCTCGAACCACTGCCTCTCTGCACCGCAGACGGCGTCCGTCAGAGTCGTGTCGCTGGCTACGACCATCGCTCCACCCTGGCGCATCTCGCAACCGCCCCAGCCCGCTCCTGCCCTTCGTTACCACCATCCTCTCGCGCCCTTGCCGCCACCGACCACCACAGCATTCACCTCTCTCGCCGCCAACTCGGGCAGCACACGACTTGGCCATGTCGCAGACACTCTCGTCCGTCATCGCCGCGCTCCTCTTTGCCGTCTGCGCATCGCTCACCGTCCCGGTCCAAGCGCAGAACATCAACAACAATGTCGCAACAATGACCCGCAACCTGACGGGGACATGGTCCACGGGCAGCGGAGCCGTCCTCACCGGCGTGGTAGGTGGTCTCTGGCCGGCGATCCTACGTCCTACCGATGCACCGACAGCTCACAGTGCCCGGCCCTCTCCTCCGTCTCGCACGCACGCAACGACAACGGCAGAACTTCTACAACCCCGTCGACCGATCCTTTACCCTTCCTCTGACGGCGGGCGAGAGCTACAGCTTCACCTCGGACGGCTTCTGGGAGCAGGCGAGCGTAAAGTGGATCTCGAACCGTGAGCAGCCCGACCTCCGGCCTGGCAACCTTCGCCTCGCCCCAGCATCGTCGCTCACACGCCTTTGCCTCCGATCCTCTATCAACCCACGCCACCCTGCTGACCGTCTCGACAGCCTCGGAGCCCGACTGCCCCACCCTTCACGCCATCTGGCAGCACGGCACCTACCAGATCTACCCGAGCAACAACACCGTCCACCTCGAGCCCTTCTGGGGAGACGGGCACCAGTACATGTCGGCCTACTGCTCGACGCCCAACTCGCAGAAGCTGGCCAGCTCCGGGCCCAGCACGCTCGGAACCTGGATGGGCGTCAGCGACAAGTCGGACGGTACACTCGCAGCCTACAACCAGTGCGTCGAAGTGCCTCCCTCGTCGTCGTCTTGTGGCGAGTGACCGGATCCCGTCTCTTTACTGACCCGACTCTACCCGCTTTCAACTTTTTCCTGCCTCGCTTCGCCCTCGAAACAGGATGGAGGAGTTCCGGCTGCCCACGTTTGACATCGACTTGCACTACGGCGTGCCCTTTGACGTCCTCTTCCTCCAGATCCCCAGCGGCAAGCGCAAAAACCGGCTGTACAAGTACCTCGACCCGCCCCAGATGCTGCCCACCGAACAACTCCACGTCGAGGTGAGTGAAGCAAGCAGGCCGTTTGGCCCCGTCTTGCCGCTTGGTCGGTCGGTCGGTCGGTAGGTCGGCGTGGTTGCCGCATCCCGGCTGACGTCTCTCTCTCTCCCCCTTCGGCCCTGCCGCTTCCTGCATCGCTCGATGGATCAAAGGTCTACGGAGCCATGTAGACGGGCACCGAGACACGGCCGAGTCCTTCAGTCGTGGCGACCTCCAGCCGACCGCACGAGGTCCTCGTCTCGACTCGGACACGGCATCGCAGTCTGGGTCGGTTCGGTTCGCCCCGGTTCTGTTCGGATCGGATGGCATATCATAGCAGTGAAAGGACGGCATTCTCGCACGAGGGGCCACACGGGCTCCCGGAATGGACATTTTCCTCCCTCCTCTCGGCCGTGGCCGTGGCCTTGGCCTTGGTCTCGCTGACGACCGCGCCTGCGTGTCGCTCCTCTGTGCGCGCACGATGTCCTCCACGCCTTGCGCTTCAGTCAGCGCTGAAGGGGTGAACGCCAGAGTCGACCGATTGCATGCACGCAGCAGCGGCGCTGCTCGTGCTCTCCACGCTCGTCAAACTGACCCCCGATATCAGTCGGCGTAGCCAGCCTGTTGCCACTGTCCGCCCCTCGACTCCCGCGACGGGGGTCTGCCTCGGTCGGCGTATGGGGCACCGTATCCGCTTCCCGGGGGCGGCTGCGCATGCCTCTGGTCGTGGTACCACCGGTCCATGCCGCCCGACTCGAGCCGGGGCAGCCGGGCCTGCGGATGGTAGTCTCTCCGTTCCATCATCGGACTAGGACGCGTCGCAGGCGCCGCTGCCGCCGCGGAAGCCTTGTCGCTCGATCCGCGGATAGGATCGTAGGCGTCTCGGGTGTCCTCGCCGCCGCCGGATCTCCTGGCCCCGGCGCTGCCGTTGCCTGCGCCAGGACGCTGGGCTGCCTCGTGGGGGGCGTCGCTGGACCGCGTATCCGATTTTCTGTCAGCGTGGTGGCCCGGAACGTGACCGCTGTATCGGCCATTCAGAGGCGTGTGCTCGACAGAGGCCTGGCCGAGCTCCGATTGACCATCCTGAGCCAGCTCGTCGACCTCAATCTCCGAGTCCTCGGGCGTCATGGCGCGGTTCGAGTGGCGCGGCTCCTTTGCGTGCGCAACGGGTCCGACGGCCGTCGAATGCATCGCAGACCCTCCGTTGGGACGGGCGCCGGCGGGCGCGGCGGAACGAGATGAGGACGACGCAGCGTGGCTGGGACCGACTGACCCAGGCCCCGCAGCCGGCGCGGCCGAGCCAGCGAAGGCCGCCTGGGCCTGCGGAGGAGGGAGGTGGTAGCGATGCTGCTGCTGCGGCGGGTGCGGGTGCTCCATCGGGCCTCCGTACCGCTCCTTGGACCTGTCGTCGTGCCACATCGGGCTGCGGTCGCGGTCGAGCCTGTGCACGATGCGGTCCAGCGACGATTCGAGCCTCTCGAAGCGCATCAACACGTCCGAGGGCGAGAGATGGTGCCAGGAGAGCGACGACTCGCGGTCCACCCTCTGCGAAACGCGGTCCAGCGTGCTCTCGAGCCTCTCGAGGCGGCGCAGGAAGTCGACGGGCGAGACATCGTCCCACGACAGGGCGGGCCCGCCGCCGCCGGCGTGATGGCCGCCGTGCGAGTAAGAGTGAGCGTGAGGGCCGCCTTCGAGGTTGGCGTGATGCTGGTGGTAGGCATGGCCTGCACCTCCTCCGCCGCCACCAGAGCGTCCGTGTGCAGAGGAGCCAGGTACGCCCGATGCTGAGGCGTGAGCGCCCGAGACCATAGGGTGAGATCCTGGGCCACCTGCTCCGACCGCACCAGGCGCTGAAGGGGTTGCGGAAGCAGCGACGCCTGGATTCGAGTGGTAGAGGTGATGACGTTGGCGACGCTGGGACGAGGGCGAAGGGAGAACGTGTCGACTCGACGGCTGGCTGCTTCTGGGAGCCGAGCCGAATTCGGCAGCCTGTCCGCCGCCCGCCACCATCATCGACGACGAAGGCGTCATGCTAGCGTTGGGATCGGCCGGCTCCTTGCACGCCAGCTTGAGCTTGAGGCATCGTCCGCAAGGAAACACACCCTGCACGATGGTCGGGAAAAGGCCCGGTCGGCGAGCATCGGCCGCGAGCATCAGCGGGCATCAAGCGGGCAGACAGGAAAGGGCAAATCATGTCAGAGTCTGCCGACCAGCATCCTCTCGAGATCTCTTGCTCTCTCCGACCTGGTGAAGAGGCCTCGCTCATGCCGAAGCCGGGCTCGGACGGCCAGAGAAAGCCGTCCGCCATCGCATGGCGCTACTCACATCGCACTTCAGTTTCTGGCCTCTGCAACGGACGCAGGCTCGTTGCGAGCGCTTGCGCTTCTTGGTTTCGGGCGGTTCTCCGGGATCCTTTTGCTTGGCGGCGGGCGAGGCCTTGACGCTGCTGCTGTGCGCGAGCGACGAAAGAGGCTTGGACGGGCCTCCGTCCGTGGAGCTGGCGTCCTCATTCTTGATGTCGCTGCCTCTCCGCTCGGGCGGCGCCGTGTCGACGCTATGGCTGTCGTCCGAGGGCGATCGGCGCGAAGAGATCGAGTCGTGCTCGTCTGCGCTGCCGGCCGCGTGAGCCGGGTGCGATGACGAGCCATGGTCGAGGTTGCTTAGGACCGAGCCTCTCCGCACCGCTGCAACCTGATTCTCGCTCATTGTCATGGAGCGGAGCAAAGGCGGGGGGCGATCGATTGTCGAGGTGGGCGAGCGAGTGGGTCGCGGATTGTGCGTGCGGACGGCTGCAGGCGGTCGACGAGGTGAAAAGTCGAAAGGCAAGCGGGTTCAGCTCAGTATCATGGTCGTCATGACGATGGTCTGAGGCGACCCATGCAGCGCCATCGCCACCGTGGTCAAGGCAGCATCCGCCTGGCACTTGATTCCCGATTGCTGACCGGGATACTCACCGCTTGAAAGAGGTGGTTGGGCGACAAAGGACCGGCTGATTGCGCCGAGAAGGGTTGGCTTCGGCCGAAGTGAAAGCCCTGGATGCGACCGGGGACCGTGCGTGTGGGCGAGGCTCTTGGCGCGGCGTTGCAACGGCAACAGACAGGCAGGCAGGCAGGCCGGCGTATTTGCGCTGCGAAGCAGGGAGAAGGTGAGCTTGAGCCTGATGCTGCGGCGGTTGGACGGCTAAAGGAGGGGGCTCGGTGTCACCGAGCAGAGGTTTCGGGACGGTGTCGCTAGAGCTACGAGGGGGCCGCGGCGTGCTGTCTGCGTGTTTGGCGGCCGGTGTGTGGCTGTGCCGCGATGCCGGCGTGGGTGTCGGTGAGGGGCCTTGAGCCTAAAGGGCAAACAAGCTCGAGAGCAACGGGTCCGTCTGGCAGCTCCGTTGGTTGGAGCAAGGAGACAAAGGGGCGGACCAGGCAGAGTTACGGGACCTTTCCGACCGGTCAACGCGGCCAGGCAAGGTGTGGTGGGCCCGCTTTGGCCGATTGGCAGAGGGAGCAGGCAGGGGATGGGTCTCGGATCGAGGCCGAGGGTGTCGAGACGAAGCTTGGTTGGCGCGGCGCCGTCACGGGGGTCGGCAGAGAGGTAGTGGTGGGTCGCGGTGGTCGTGGTGGAAAGTGGGGCGATGGTGGCTGTGGTGGCAGCGGTTGCAGCGGTGGCTGGTGGCGTATTAGCAAGTCCGGGGTTGCCACAGAGCAGCTACGTAGCGAGGCGAGGGCAGCCTGGTCGGATGTCGCGTTGGGCTGAGGGCGATGGCACAGAAGCAGCCGGGAAGGGGAGCGAGCGGTCAGAGCAACAAGAGGGGGAGGATGAAGAGGGGGGAGGGGCGGGCGGGCAAGGAGCAAAGAGCACGACGTGGAGCGGAAGCAAGCTTGCGAGCAAGCAAGCAAGCAAGGTGAAGAAGGACCGACGGACAGGCCTGGCTAGGGATCGACGACAGCTAGCTGACCGACCCAGGAAGGCAACGAGAGCCAAAGAGCAGGTAGGAAGACGGGGGGGAGTCAAGGCGAAAGCGAAGCCGAGAGCGAGGGCGAGGGCGAGGGCGAGGGCGCACACGGCAACGGCAACGGCGATGCCTGCCAGGCGGAAGGAGGGCAGGCAGGGGGGGTTGGGGCCCGGACGACGGTGGCCGGACAAGCGAAGGGACGGAAGAGGGACAATTGGAGGCCGAGCGACGACGTACGCTCGCTGCTCGATGCCGCCGACGCCGCTAGAGAAGCTGTCCTGCCTGCCTGCCCTTCCTGCCTGCCAACCCTGCGTAGTTACACCACGCACACACGCGTCCATAGGCATCCACACGACCAGCCGATGCCGTCGTCCCGGTCCGCCCCCGTCCGCCTCCCGGCCTCGGTCGAGAAGCCGGGTCCGCTAAACGACCCGCATCGTCGGGCCTACAGCTTGCTTGCTGCCTACAGAATAGGGCGTCCTGCCGGTGCGGCACCCTGCCTCCGTGTCTGGGTGCGGCCGTGGCCAGCCACGCTCGCATCGCATCATCACGGCCGCCGCCGCCGCCACTCTGCTGCCGCCATCGTCCTCCGACCAAGCAACAAGACGATCCAGCGTGCACGGCGGCGGCAGGTGGGTCTGCCGGCCAGGCCGCTGCCCAGCTTGCTTGGCCCTGCCTTGCTGTTTGCCCTGCTTGCTTGCTCCGATGCCGTACACGAAAGTCCGTCATAGACATGCACCCGCACTCGCTCTGGCTTGGCCGTACACATACACACACGCGGAGCCAAGCCAAGCTTGGCTGATTGGCTCTGAAACCGTGCGTTTAGCCGCGCAACAGCACGTCAGCCAGCTACCGAGGTCCAAGCCAGACTGGTACGTGCCTCTCTGCTGCTGCCGCCGCTGCTCGGGCCAGCCATCCAGCCAGGCAGCCAGGCAGCCAGCCGGGCGTTCGGGAAGGGCAGGCAGAAGGGACACCCAGCCTGCCTCGTCTTACTTCTCTTCTCCCTGTCGCGGCCACCCGCCAGCCTGCTGCAGCACCTCGGCCGTGTCGCAAGACCATCTCTGCCAGCCGATGCGGTACCAGGTGGGATGGCTGGGCAAGTTCCGAGGCGAACTTGCAGCCGAAGGCGGAGGCTAGGGAAAGGGCAGCCAGCCAGGCTAGGGCGCAAGAGCCAGGGCAGGCCAGGAAGCACACCGTACCAGAGTCAAGCGCAGCGGCAAGCCGGCTGGGCAGCAGGGCAGCAGGCGTACGGCGGGCAGGCCCAGCTGCCTGGCCAACGCCGACCGACGGAGCGCGGGCGCCGAGAAAGATACGGTGAAAAGCCGGAAACGAAATTGGCCGCCCCGTTTCGACGTCCGACCGCCGCCGCCGCCCGCCGCACCGCCGCCGCTCTTGTCCGGCTTCGGGCGCGGGCGCGGGCGCGGGCCCTTGCCTGCCTGCCTCTCTGAAAATCTCTGCTCTGGCCAAGCCGAACCAAGCCTTGCTGGCCAGCAAGGCCGGCCCTTTCCTTTCGGCTGCTCATCCTGCGATCGCCCATCGACACCCGCGCCTCATGTGTTTCTCTTTCTTCGGCTTCTCAGCTCCCACGATCGCACATGCATATGCTGGTCGCCCAAGCTGCACCACCAGCCGGTTGTGCAGTGGGCAAACAGCTTGGCGATGCTGCGGATGGCTCCTTGGGCCGACCAGTCAGGCGGCCAGGCCAGCGCGTTTGTAGGCACTCGCCCAACCGGCTGATACCCGGGGCTACCGGTAGTCGGCCAAGCCAAGAGAAAGGAGAGAAAAGAGCTAGAGAGGCTGCCAGAGAGGCGAGCTGACGCTACGGTAGCTAGGGCAGGTGCGTAGATACGTCCGACTAGCCGCCCGGCGGGCCAGGCGAGGGCTCCGAGACCAAGACAGCCCGTCGGACCAGACCAACGCCCGCCTGCTCGGTGGCGCTCTTCTTCTACCAAGGTAAGTCAAGCGTCGTCGAGGAGCAAGCCGATGCACAATCAATCAGCCCTCGGCGCAAGGAGGATCAACCGATCCGGAACCGGCTCCCCGCGACATGAGCGCCGGCGTGCTCTCGACGCCGTCCGAGCAGCTGACAGGACTCGGGCCAAGCACAGCCGAGTGCAGGACGAGAAGACAACAATGGCGACGATGGGCCCGGAGCTTTGGGAGCCAGAGGCCAAGGCAGGGCAGGGCAATCTGGCGGCTCAGCCTCGCCGCCGTCATGGGAGGCGTAGGTGCTCGTGTCGTTCGACAGTCGGGACGAGCCGCAAGCTGGCTTTGCTGCAACGTGCTGCGGGCCGACGATGGCGCAGCGCCGGACCACCGCCGCGTTCCCTTTCTGCCAGCAGCAAAGACATCGGCCTGGCCACCGTACCGTACCGAACCTGCCTGGACCTCGATCCTGGCACCGCATCGCATCGCATCGCATCGCATGGCATCGAGCTACTGTAGCAAACGACGGCGGTGCTTTTGATGATGAAGTGAGCAGACGTAGGGCGCCCAGCAAGCCAAGGCAGGGCGTCTTCCGTCTCCTCGGAACTACTGTACAAGACAGACGGGCTTGCTGGAACGCCGAGCGACGCCGGAAGCAGCCGTCGGCGACGTCGACGGCGAGCATCGGTCGGACCGCCGCCGAGCGGGTGCTGCCACCTGGTTCTAAATTCGGCATCCAGGCACCTCGGAATCTTGGAGCCGAAGCCGGCCCACGCCGATTCGACCGTGGCCTAGCCTGGCCTGCCTAGCCTGGAAGGCCGCGCATGCATCCGCATCCCCCACGTTTTTCGGCTGGCTCGTCTGGCGGCGATTGGCAGGCAAGCGAGGCGAGGCGAGGAGCTTGGATCGCGCAAATTCGGCATGCAGAGAAGCTAGGGCAAGCAGGCCAGGCCGGACACCGCAAAGAAGCAACTTAAGGTCAGGAGCAAGAGGCTAGGACGGAGCAGTTACGGTAAGTACATGCATATGTAGCCAGGGAGCACCACATACCGTCGAGGGGCAGCGGCGGCGGGCAAGGGCCGTGACGTACCTCTGTCCGAGGCATCGCGATCCGTCGACTGGTCGGGGACGCTGTCAGGCCAACGCAGACGAGAGAAGCCGCGCAACGCGTCGTACCCGAGGCGGAGGGGATCCGCACCCACCGCCAGACCGCATCTCGGCCCTTGATACACGGCCACGGCCACGGCTACGGCTGCGGACACGCACCACGATGGCCCGAAGGTGACACGCCGTCTTGCGTCGTCAGACGATGGACATGGCTGGCCGATGATCTACGGCATGGATACGTGGTCCTACGAGTCCCTCTTGTCCCGGTGCGCCTTTGTGCATACGTCGTCCTCGACGTAGTACTGGGTACCGAAGGGGCGAGGGGGACGAAAGGGGGCGCCTGGCTTGGAAGCCGATCCCGAGCATGAATCGCCCGGTCCCAGCACGTCAAGGCAGGCGGGTAATTTCGCTTAATAAGTACAGAATCCTGGGCCTGTTTGACCTGCGGCTGCGGGCCTGTGTACCTGCTGCATCCATCACCGTCGCCGCCGTCGTCGCCCCCTTCGTCGTCCTGGAACAAAGGGGCTCAAACCGGATCCTGGCTGGCCAGTTCGGACGCACAGGGTGATGTCGAAGCCGCCCGCCCGGCCTGTCACCGGGAGCTTGGCATGTGTGTCAGCATCATCTGCCTGTGCGGTGGATGGCTCCCGGTCCCAGCCTGCCTGCCCGCCTGCCCGCCTGCCCGCCTGCTTGTCCTGCAGAAGATCCAGACGGTGGGTTGCCAATTGCAGCCGAG